TCCCCCTGGGATCGTGTGCCATTCCACCAGGAGCGTTGCTACATCCTGGGCGGCGATGAGAGGTGTGCCACTGGCGGACGTCTGTGCTGCGGCGTCCTGGGCAACTCTGTGCACGTTTGCACGCTTCTACCGCCTCAACGTTGGCCACAGGTCCGTGCTCGCTTCGGCGGTGCTGCCTCTGGCGGCTACCTCCTGAGTGACGGTGAGTTTTATGTTCCTCGTGACACTTCTGGCATAAGTCATCCACTCTGTTTACTGCCACTGGCAGTCAGGAGGGAACGAAACAGAACGGAAGTTACGGTGGAACTATGGTTCTGTGAGTTCCTGGATGACTAGGGATGAGTACCGAATTCGGTACTTTTTAAGGTACCGACCGAATTCCATAGTACCGACCGAACACCGATTCACGTCATTTCAAACGGTGCCTCGTTTCGGTACTGCCAAGACAGTTGCGCATGCGCAAGAGCGTTATGTCGCCGGTCCCTGCGAGCCCATTGTAAACAGAGCAAGCATGGTAGAAAGAACGCACGCTAAAGCTTGGGTCCACTTCACTAAATGTGATGGGTAACTGGGTGATGAAACTAGCGACAGACAACGATCTAAGTGAGACATCCTCATCTTAATCTGCTCCAGTAGGTAAATAAAATGTTTAAGATAACGTTACCTTGATTTGTTAGCTTCCGTTTCGCTATGGTGCGTTCGCTTTCTCCTCGGAACTCCGAATTTCCGACTAGAAGAACATGAACGTGCTCTAAAGTTTGGCTTTACTTTACTAAATGCGACGGGTGAATGGGTGAAGGTAAAACCAGCGACAACGATCTAAGTTTGAGGCATCATCGTTTTAATCTGCTCCAGCAGCTAAATAAACTGTTAAAGATAACGATAACTTGATATGTTAGCTTCCATTGCCACCGTTGTTACCAGCTAATGGTGCGTTCGCTTTCTCCTTGGAAATTCTAACTTCCCAGTAGGAAAAATCAAATGAAAAAGGACGGCAAAAGGAATGAAGATACACAGTAAATTTAGTTCACAGTAAAGATGTTTGCTTGAGTTTAATTATCAGCTTATAAAACTACAAGGACGATGTTAAAATACAAACTTGTATGTTATTTATCGTGATATTTATCAAATATGGTTATATATTGAGAAAAATATATATTTAATTATAAAAGAGAATTAAAATAATAAACACTCAAAAGTATCAAAAATTGGTACCGTTAAGTACCGGTATCGACTCGTAGGTACCGGGAATTAGTACCGGATCGATTCAAATGTCAAAGGTACCCATCCCTATGGATGACTGCCAGTCACAGGGGTCACTCGGAACTTCTCAGGCGAGAAGATCCCGGGAGACCCGAACGTAGCTATCGGCGCGTAATTTATAGACTCGCGACCAGGTGCGCTATGTGTCACGTGCGTGACTTTGTTTACATTAGTACTCGACCTGCGCAGAGCGCGAGGAGATACATCCACTCTGTTTACTGCCACTGGCAGTCATCCAGGAACTCACAGAACCATAGTTACACCGTAACTTCCGTTGTCCCAGCTCTGTGTTAACAGGTGGGCGTGTCGGCGAGCCAGCTGTTCCTGATCTCCCTGATCAGAGGGCCAGGAGTACTAAAGGAGCAGGTGTGACAACTCCAGCTCACAACCAGTTTAAAGTGCAGCCATTCAGAGAGCAGACCAGACATACTCATAGAGACTCAGCAAACACTTTATAGAATAAGCATGATGGGACGTAAAATATATTTTTTATGGATTCCAGCTCATTGTGGAATCAGAGGAAATGAAGGAGTCGATGAGATGGCTAAGGAAGCAACAATACAATGCAACGGTTCAGTTATATATTCACTTTTGTCAAAAAGAGATCAAGAGCTTAATAGCAAGAAATGAAGAAAAAATGGCAAAAACAATGGGAGGAGGAAAGGAGGGGAAGATGGTTGTATGACATTCAAAGAAGAGTGGGAGAAATGAGAAACACTGGAAGGAGTAGGAGAGAGGAGGTGATCATTGCTAGACTAAGGTTTAGACATACTGGGTTAAACAATACATTAGTCGTGATAGGGAAACATACAGGGAAATGTTATTATTGTGGAGAAGAAGAAACTATAGGTCATGTTATATTACAATGTCACAAATATCAGGCGGAAAGAAGGACAATGGTTCACAATCTTAGTCAGATGAAAGTGAAACTGGATCTTGTTGATTTATTGAGACAGAATTCAAAAAGTGACTGTTTTCGGATTTTATTTCGGTTTTTGAAAGAGATAAGGATGTTTGGGAGACTTTGAGGTTGTTGTTTTTTTTCCCCTGTTTGGTTTTGTTTTGTGAGAACTGTTCCAGACCACACTCCACACTAGTTGGTGGCGGTAATGCACCATTCGTTGTTTGCCAACCGCCAATAAAGCACCAAAAGAAGAAGAAGAAGAAGAACTCCAGCTCACAGTGGAGTAGAGGGTAATGAAATTACTGATTATTATGCAAAGCAGGCAACGAAACTGGATACTATGATGGAGGTTCCACAGAGTGTTGCAGAGGGGAAATCAGTTATTAGACAGCAGATTCTGGATGAATGGCAAGAACAATGGATAAGGGACGTGAAAGGAAGACATTTATACAAATTAAAGGGAAAGGTTGGAAGAATGGAAGTCATTCAAATGAGTAACAGAAATCAAGCAGTGATAACAAGGATGAGAATGGGACATACGGCTTTAAACAGTATTTTTATTCTTGGACGGCATAATACCGGTATGTGTGACTGTGGACTTGATAGGGAAACAGTAGAACATGTATTATGTGCTTGTAGGAAATATGTGGGTAATAGGAAACTGTTGGTTGAAAAATTAAAAGTTAAAGGTTATAAGGAATTTGAGTTGAGTATTCTGTTAAATGGGGGACTAGTGGTGTATAAGTTAGTCATAGACGTTTTAAGGGACAGTGGATTACTTGATTGAATTTAGTTTGGTTTTTTTGTTTGTTTGTTTTTTTATGTAGGATACTCCCCACTCCGACTCACAATCCCATTCAGTAGGTGGCGGAAATGCATCTGAAAGTTGGTTGCCACCCGCCAATTAAACAACAGAAGAAGAAGAACTCCAGTGCCGGTTGGTACTCGCATCTTGGGTAAACACTAGCCAGTCGCAGTCTCGTTTGATGTTCTGTTTTAATCTTGTCTGCCCGTTCCAGTCAGCCCTGATCTACCGAGTCCTGAAGGTTCCTGCTCGTCTGTTCTCAGGAATTACCCACCGCCGTCTGGAGTTGTTGTTCCAACATCAAGTCGCTCACCATCCCCCTGCTCTCCTCACTCTCTGCTGCCCGCCTGTCATCCTGCCCGCTTCCCAGCCTGCCTAACCACCAGCCTCCGGACCTGCATCATAATCTGCCTCACTGTCTACCTCGCAACCTGTTTCCTCATCCCACCCTGGATCCTCATTCTCTGCTGCTTGTCTGTCCCCACCTGGCCCCAAAGACCCAGCCCTGCCTCACCAAGACCGATCATCTCCAGTAAGAATAGCTCTCCAAACAATTCCCATTCTGGTTCTCTGGTTCCAGGGTTTCGTGATTCTAACACCAGTTTGCTTTCCCGTTCTAGATCACGGTCCCTCCTGTTCCCGTTTGGAGCACCGTTTTCAGTTACACACCGTTCTTAATAAATATGATTTGTTATTTACTTACCATCGTTTCCGTCTGTGATTCTTTCATGTCCTGGGTAAAACATATTCCCAACATAACATCTGCAGATGCTGCGCCTCATCTTTTGTTTAGTGTTTCTGAGTTTAAAAATCCTGTAGATGGGTTCCAGATTAATAGTGTTGTGATGATATGCACCTTTAAAGGAGGAGTTGAAGTATTTCGGTGGATTGGCCGGTGAGTTGCGTTTTTATTTATTTATTTTTTTACTGGGGACATAAAAATCTGAAGGAACTCCGTGGAGAGGTTAAAGCTGCAATGGCAAACGGGAGTTTTTCTTTCATGCTTCTTAACAATAATTTAACATAGTATAGCTATAAATATATTGTGGAGATTAAAAATAAACTAATGAAGTGGTTCTCTCACATTTGTCTAAAAACCTCCACCAAAAACACGTTTGGGACTGAAAGCAGCAGGACCATCCAGTTGTTGGTCTTCTCTGAATTGTAGCACTTCCACGTTTCCCTGGGTCCTCCACTCATTACGCACTCACGGATTTAGCAACAGAACACCACTGTGAAAGGTTCTCCGCTCAATAATATCAGAGAAACAGAAACTTTAGGACAAACCACCAGAGTCCCAAAAAGAAAACACCTTTAGAAGGACAACAAAAGCTGTTTGGACCTAGAAAACAACTACTGGTGTTTAGTACCATCTCGTTTTGTCCGGCATCGTGGGTTTCGGATTCCAGATGAAGCATCTCGGGAGGGGCGATTGTTCTGTGATCGTGTTTGCGTTTAAAACCTGGGTTGTTCTGCAGATTCGCTATAACAGCTTTAAAGGTCAGACTGACGCCAACGATAATTCTACATCAGGGGTTCATGTTGGACCGCACAAAGGCTGAAAGCAGTGACTCGTGTAAAGTCTGAATAAAGACTAGTCTGAAGTGAGTTGGAGAAGAATTTTAAACCGCAGAAAGTTTGGCAACATAAGACTTATCATAATCCCAAAGTAGAAATGATGTATGCAGCATAAACTATAATCTAGCAACCAGCTGGACTAAAGATCAACTGATGGAAGGAGATATGAAAAAGGAAAAACACACACAGTCGTTCAACATGTCGTGTGTGTTACGATCTCAAGATCAGAAGAGTCTGGGTCGACCGAACCAACTCCACGCTCACCGCCACCAGCCATGGTGCAGGCTGGCCAGCTTCGGTACACAGCTGTGCCAGGAACACACACACACACACACACACACACACACACACACACACACGGCTAACAATGACAGACACTACACAAGCTCGTATGCCCTTGTACAGAAAAATCTGACTTCAAACTTTCACACCCAGATGGATCAAACCTACTCTGTAGTGGTTCTCTCATTGTTCTGCTGGGAGCTGAAATTCCAGGCATTGGTGCCATGCCTTCCTACTGAGCCTCTATTCATCACTGAGGTCATGAGGCCATGGACGCCACCATTTACAGACACACACACCACTGTACGCCTGAGGGTAAGCGATATCAACACTGCCCGGGTTATTGGTCCAATTCCCTGATAGGAGGAATGAGCAGTGTGTGTGCCAGGTCCAGAATAGTCCCTGCAGCTCAAAGGGCGCTGTAACAGTGGAGCAACCATAAAAAAGGGAGGAAGTCATTATGTAATCTTGTGACACATCTAGGTGATGAGCAGCAGAGCATGTCTCAACGTCTTTGTTTGACTCGCCATGCTGCAGAGAGGCTGGAGTTAAAGTGTGTGACTTGGTCCCTCCTGCAGATCATGTCCGGTCATGTTCTTCCTCGCCCAGACATGAGGAGGAGGACTAAAACACACGGGGTGGTTTATTCTGCAGGTTTGACAGCCTGCAGGTAGATTTGACCAAATAAACTCATTTGACATCACACTGAATGTAAACGCAAGAGATCCTGGAGCAGAACAGACCGACCCACCCACCTCAGCTGCTCCCCGGTGACAAGCACCTCAGCCAGCCGCTCCAGTTCGGCTGCCTTCTTCTGCATGGCGGTCCCGATCCCGTCCATCTCCCTGCAAACGCAAACACCTCATCCTCAGCGTGGATTCTTCGGAGGGTTGAATGAAACATTTTGCTAAATCTAAATGTGCATCTGCAGCGTTCTGCATTACAGAGTGGATTCAAGGCGAGTGAGGAAATGAGCGATGTTCTTTTTTGCACAGAAATGAAACAGCGGCTCTTCTGATACTCACCCTTCAAGCACCATGGAGAGCGAAAGGACCAGGTCACCCAAAATTTATGAAAAATCCAATAAAACACACGTGGAGTCAAAGTGACAGCAGCTTCCATCGACACATGATGGTCAATTAAACCCCGCACACACACGCGCGTGCTCAAACACGCATCAGTGCATCCGTGCACGTTTCTAGGTTTCTAAATCCTGACCGAGGCTCTCTGGAGTTTCTGTCACTGACAAACTGTCACGGCGACACGGGACCAACTCACGTTTTCTCGCCGACACCACAGCCCCGCATTGGGAGGACTCTGCTGACGTCAGAGGGGGGCGTTCACCGCGCGGGCGGGACCGCAAACGCATCATGGGGCGCTCGATTTGCACACCGTTAAACAAAATCAGACACATTCGTTTAGTATTCTCATTAGCGTCCCACATTTTCATTTATGGGATTAATTTACAACAAAAACACAGGAATAGTGTCAATTAATTTGTTACCATAGTAACAAAAATCAATTAAAGCTTGCTTGCATATAAATGGGCTAACAACCTTATAGTTACATCTGAATTCATACAAATTTATGCTAATGCATTAAAATATAATCAGGGTGGATGGACATTAATTATAACTCATTAAGCATCAACATATAGGGTGCCTGTGAGCTGCTCCTTTGTTAAAGATGGAAGAAAACAAGTTGGAACATGTCTCTGGCCTGGAGCTTCTGGGTGCCAAATGTATAGACAAACACAAGCTAACTAAAGCTGTCTGAAAACACCCACAATTTAAGATTAACTCATGTTTGTATCTAAGAGCTTCACTCCATGTGCCTGAGAGGAGCACACAGACCAGCTTCGCTCTGCAAAGATGAAGTCACAAGCTTTCCTATTGGCTGCAAAAAGCAGATCTATGAGTGTGTGTGTGTGTGTGCTCAAATAGTGAAAGAGTGGTTCAAGAAGCATGAGACATCATTTTCACACTAGTGATGGGAATTCCAGCTCTTTTTAGAGAGCTGGTTCTTTTGGCTCAGCTCACCAAAAAGAGCCGGCTCTTTCGGCTCCCTAGTGGCTCCTCAGATTTTCTGTTGCGTAGAGTACATTTATAACCAAAATAATGCTAAACTATATGTAAAATTATTTACTAATGTAAAAAAAGCAATATATCAAATATTTATCATTTCTATGGATTTAATAACTGAACACTTTAAGAAATCTACACTTTCCGAGTGCTGGCGCTCATTTTCTCACCGTCTTCGTCGCACTCTCCTCCCTCTCTCTCCTTTTTCCTCCTTCGCATTCCCTCTCATCTCCCTCCTCCCACATGTGCTCTGCTGTGTGTCTGTCTGAATCTGATCCTCCCTCTTCCCCGCCCCTACTGCTCTGTGTGTGGACAGTCTGGACACACAGTTACACATGTTGACCAATCGCCTGTAGCTTTCACCAAGGCAGGAGGGGAGGGGAGGGGACGGCTCCCAATGACGAGCCGGCTCCTGTCGATCACTTCAAAGAGCCGGCTCTTAGAGCCGGTTCGTTCACGACCGACACATCACTATTTCACACATGGACTGGCCACCACAGAGTCCAGATCTTAACCCCATTGAGAATCTTAGGGATGAGCTGGAGAAGGCTTTGTGCAGCAGTCAGACTCTACCATCGTCAATGCAAGATGTTGGTGAGACATTAATGCAACACTGCATGGAAACAAATCTGGTGGTGTTGCAGAAACAATGTCACAGCGAATGTGTGTTGCAAAATATTAGTGTGTGTGACTTTTTTTTCTTTTGGTGGGGACTTTTTTGCATTGTTGGGAAAACAATCATAACACAGCATAACAATCACTTTTGTATTTTTAAATAATTTTCATGAGAATTGTTCCTTACGGGGCATTCTATAATTTTTAGAAGTATTATCACACATGTTACATCCTCGTGGCCCCTGATAATTATATAATAAAAGCATTTAAGTCATAGATGGCTAACCTGTTTGTTTGTGGACATGTGGGGCAGCTGTTTTACTTTTTATTATGTCAAGAGTCTTTGTCTGCAATAGGCCGTTAAACACTGCCTTCAGCCTATTTTTTCAGCTGGAAACCTGTAAAAATTAAATACATAAAAAACAGGAATAACTACAGCTCCATGCTTTCATTCTTTTTTAAACACAGAAACAGTTTTGTTTACCTGTTTGTAGCTACGGTTTCGCCGACAGCTGCCGGCTTCTTCAGGCTGACGCTGATCATCCATCAGCGTCAGCCTGAAGAAGCCGGCAGCTGTCGGCGAAACCGTAGCTACAAACAGGTAAACAAAACTGTTTCTGTGTTTAAAAAAGAGCGAAAGCATGGATTTACAAAGACACAGCAAGAACACACCTAAGATAACTACAGCTATTCAAAACATCAAAGGGAGTGGGATGACGCTCTGCTTGTAAAAAAATCCCCTCCCTTTCTTATTTGATAGTCTCTCCAGAAACACAGCTGTATTTGGTTTTATTGCATCTTTGCATTTTAATATTTTAGAATGAATAAACATGTTCCCTACACTCTGTATTATGAATAATCCTCACAGCCCTTGTTTGCAATATTGACACAGGTAAGAGGAAACCTTTGCACGTGTTGCCCTAAATCTCCACACAACTAGTTAGATGCGGATGAATTATTGAGCAGTATGGAACATACAGTGATTGACCATTCAAGAGAGGCCCTGGGAGATGCTTCTTACCTTTGAATGCATTTACAGGCCTGACCCAAAAAAGTCACCTCCTAGATCCTTAATTCTCACGCTGGAGAGCAATCTTTGAAAGCTTGATGACTCATGATGAGATCACTGATGGTTAAAAACCCGAACCCAAGCCCCCACAATGGAGCTCTAAAATTGAGTCAAACCTGGAAGTACCAAAAATTGCAGTTCCACCCTCCTCCACTAGGGGCTGGTGTCAGAAGCGAGCAAATCCTCATTGACTCCCATGTTAAAAATACCTATTTCACAGCAGAAATAAACATGTTTACAGCCTGGTACCAAAAAATGTTTTTTGTTTAAATGATCTAGTTTACACTCATGATAACTCTGAGGGGGGTGAATTTTTTTCTCACTCTTCTGTGTAAGTGTATTAAAAGCCTAAAATTCTGTATAATTAATGAGCATCAGACCCACGTGACCACAGAGCTAGCTCCGTGGAAAGGCCTCAGTAGAGCCTCGGTCTGGCCTGGAAACTGTTTCGGGATTTTGAGTCTCTCTGTTTGTGTATTCTGTTTTGGATATTATTTGTGCAATTGTTGGACAAAATGACTTGCTGTGGCAATAATTGCATTAATAGAGCGTCCAAGGAGTCTACACTTCATTTTTTTCGGTAAGTTAAATTATATTTATGTATTTTAGGTCACTGCCACCTTTAAACTAGCTGAGTTTATCGAAGTAGCTAGCTAACTATCATTTTAACATGTAGCATGTATTGTTTAACCCCGAACCACGATAAAACCTAAAGTTGTGCCTGGAATGGGCGCTAGGGGGCGCTGTGTGTCTGTAAAACATTAATTTTAAATCCTGATAAAAACTGGTTTAATTTTGTTGAATTGTCGCTCAAGTAAAGTGTCAGCTTATGAAAATATGAAAATCCATCATTTTATTAGAATTTTTACAAGTTTGTCATCTTCTGAAGTGGGCTCTCCTTCAAACGCTTCTGATTCTTATTCAGACAAGATGTTTTTTTTAAATCAGCTGCAGACATGGAAGCCAGCAGTGATGAAATAAGAATTGAATTACGGTCAAACCATCACCGGAAAATCAGGATCTTACGTTATTCAAGACTTTCTGGGATCCGGTAGTTACGCACTGGTGGTCGAAGCCATCAGAAAGGAGACAGAGGAAGTCGTGGCTATTAAACTGATCAACTAAGAAAATATCCAATCAGCTGAAAGAGAAGATGATATGCTGGGTGTTATTGGGAAGCTTTAGACCACTTATTCGATCATTTTATTTTCACAGACAGTTTTGCTTAGTTTTCGAAAAGACATGATGGATCTGTTTGATTTCTTGCACAATGGAAAAGGAATGTTAGATGTACAGGATGTTGTACTGGTGGCTCTCAGTCTGCTCAAGAATGGCTCATGTAGACATCGTAAACCACCAGTGCCAACCACTTAGGGTTAAACTTATTGATTTTGGTCTTGCAGGAAAGACGTGTGAATTATGGCGGCATGAAACAGTACAGGAGCTCCAGAGGTCTTCTTGGGTCTCCATGAAGTCACAGACGCTTGGGCGGTTGCCTGTACACTTGCCTTCTTGTTTCTTAGAGAATATCTCCATGAACCAACCTGTGACTATGACTGCATGTGGCAGATCTTCAAGATACATGGCCTACCTGACAAATATAATTGAAAGGCAAGTAAAGTCGATCGTTTCTTTATATCTGACCAATCTGAACAAACCTGGAGGTTTAAAACACCCCACGACTACACAGAGACAAGACACAAGATTACAACACGTGAAAGGGGTTCTAATCATTGGATGACTTCTTAAAGTTGGTTCCAGGAGTAGAAGACCCGTATGAATTGGAAGATTTGCGAGCGTTCATAGACCTCCTGAATGTGTACTGTGGAATAACGCCAGATGAAGCTCTGAATCACAGTTTTATTACAACGAACCACCTTGCTCGTGCCGTAATAGCCCGCGTGTGAAATCAGCATGACAGTGTGCCAAACCAAGAAAGGGGAAACAACCAGCAAAACTCATGCTAATGATGGAAATTCAAGTCTCTTTGACTTCAGTCCATCTGATTAGGACCTGTCAGACTGTGATTTGTCTGAATCAGAAGTGTGTTGACGCCTGAGCTGAACCAAGCTGCGAGTATAATAATATGAGACTGATCTTTAAGCTGCATGGTCTGCCTAACAAGTCTTTACTTGAAAAGGAAGTAAAGCTCATGACTTTTTTACTTTGACCAATCTGAACAATCAAGGAGGTTTAAAACACCACAAGAATACGTGGAGTTGGGAAACCAAATTACAACGCATGACAGAACTGAGTTAGACTCCATGGATGAAATATTAAATGTGTTTCAGTATTAGAAGACTCGTATGAATTGGAAGACTTGCGAGTGTTCATAGACCTCCTGAAATGGATGGTAAATGTAGACCCAGCTGAGCGAATCACACCAGATCAAGAGTGCCATCACACGAGCCGCCTTCCTCGTACCTGTGACGCTCAGATGTGAGAGTGACACAGTCCCTCATCAAAGTGTGTCAAATTCATCAAGGAGCAACAACCGGCACGTCTCCTACCAAGAAAGACTTTTCCTGCATCGAAGCGCCAGGGTCTGCTGAGCAGGTTAAAATGAAGAAAACTCCTCTCAGAAGCATTAGGACACTGTTTGCCAGCCTTGTTAGGTGTAAGAAACCAACAGTAGGAAGTGAGCGACGTAAGCATCAGCAGGCAGCTTCAGTGATTAAAATCCATCCTGCCATGTTAGATATAAAAGACTAATAATGGAACATATAAGCCAAAGGAATGTGTACAAAGCATACATTTTAAAGTTAAGAAATACTAAAATCTAACTGACACTTGTTAAGGCAGGGTCCTTATCGTTATTCATCTGGGGAGTTATTGCAGCTCAAACAGCTGCGTGGACCCCCACACCTTCCATATCAAAATGACCGGCTTGGCCATGGGAGGTGTGCTGTTACTTTTATAAGCAATCCCATTCACCATGGCGAAGCTATTAGCAAAAAACAATTTTGTTATTTATTTTTTTCATTTTGAGCGCCAGACCAGATCTTGGCCAATTGCATCAGGGGTGGCTCGAACGGCAGTGTGCACCCCCACAAATTATACATCAAAGCGCGGCCGTGGGGGTGTGCTATTACTTTTAGAAGCGATTTGATTCATCACGGCGAATTTATTAGCAAAAAACATTTAAAAAAATGTTGTTTTTGAGTGTGTATGTGTGTCTCATTGTGCCAGGCCAGTTCAAACTCACTCAAACTTTGTGAGCAGACACTGACTCTTCACTGGAGGAAATGGTCACTTGAGGCTGCCAAGGTTAACAGCCACACTCCCTCTGTTTGTACTTTGATAAAAGCTCCCACCAAGACATCTTTATTACAGCAGCTGGAGAAGGGTGAGGCACACCTTTACCATAAGTTACAGCTTATCTTGACGTTTCAGTCACAGAACATAACTGGTGTTAGCCAAGTCACGACTCTTTCAATGACACAGCATTTACATAACTATTACATACCGAGAACATATTATACATTAAAGTTCTCAGCTTCCCTCACTCAAAATGTCAAAATATGACAAATGTGAGATGTAGTTTTAGAGGTAGTTTTGTTTGTTTGGAAAATTTTGCACAACTTACAATTGTAGTTTTCATATTTTGCACAAATAATATTTCACTATCTTTACAGCAAGTATACAAAAATGTATAGGAAACTACAGCCTCGAGGCTCTTTTCTGCAACGTCAGGACAGCAGAACTGTCATGGCTGGGGCGAGCAGAGCAGACGCTAGTGTGTTAGAGGCATGAGCTTATTGTAGACGTGCTCTGCTCTCTCCTGGACGCTAAATCAACAACAGCTTTCCCTGTCAAAGGATGGCCATTAGGGTCAAAAATTCCTGGGAGTGATTTTCAAAGGAGTACTTTATCAGATCGTTTAACCTCCAGCAAAATAACAAGCACACCAGACTCCCTTTCATCACTGGCTACAAGTGTGGAGATAAATACCATACCATAGTTTATTTATATAGCATGTTTAAAACGCAGCATGGGAGCTGCCCAAAGTGCTGCACAGGCTAAAACAAAACACGACCATTCTAAGGAACTAAAGCAGAGGATAAAAATACCAGTCAAAGCAGATAAGACATGATGAATACTAAGAACACATTAAAACACTAAAACGAGTCACTGTCTAAAAGCCAAATCGTAAAAGTGGGTCTTCAAACGAGATTTAAAAACCACCAGTGATGGAGCCTGCTGAACTCCAATGGGCAACGAGTTCCATAGCTTTGGGGCAGCATGCACAAATGCTCGCTCACCCCGCGATTTGTATCGCATTCGCGGCGTACACAGCAGCAACAGGTCAGCCGACCTCAACGTGCGCATGGGTACATATGGAGTGAGCAGGTCAGAGAGATAGGGAGGTGCCAGGTCGTTGAGTGCTTTAAATACAAAAGTCAATAACTTAAACTGTACTCTGAAAATGACAGGGAGCCAGTGAAGACGGGCCAGGACAGGGGTAATATGGCTACGTCGGTGTGTATTCGTCAAGAACCTGGCAGCAGCGTTCTGGACGACCTGCAGCCGATTCAGGGTGGATACCGGAACACCAACGAGGAGGGCGTTTGCGTAGTCAAGGCGAGAGGTAATGAAGGCATGGATGACTGACTCCAAATGCCTCCGTTTCAGGATTTGTCTGAGGCGAGTAAGGCGGCGAAGCTGATAAAAGCAAGACCTCACCACGGAGTTTATCTGTGGGGCCATCGTGAGTTCAGCATCCAGCTTTACACCATCGCTTGACACACACTGTTTGGGGTTGAGGGTTAAAGGGTCACAAACTGAGTGAGAGCCATGGTGGTTGCGGGGGGTCAAAAACAATAAACTCAGACTTCTTTTCATTTAACTTTAAGAAGCTGGATGCCAGCCAGCCCTTCACGTCATCTAAACATGCAGCCAATCGTGAGCCCGCAAATGTGTAAAAGAACAACTTTTATGAATGGCAAAAGTTTTGTAACAGTTTGTAAATGTGTTTTGTCCTCACAGACTCCCGTAGAAGTCTAATATGGTGTGCCCACAGACTCAGACCCGCTCCCATGTATTTTTTTATGGTTATATTACGAAGCCACCATTGTTTTTTTGTTTTTTTTAAAGACCTATCTGGAGCGATTGGGCTGCTGCTCACTTGGATGGAGCTGGGGAACACAAGAAGACACATTTTTGATAATGAGGACAAACAGCCATTTTTACCGCAGTTTTGCTCAAAAACATCAGTCCCTGTGATCCACTCGCTGTTTACCTCCTCTTTCCGTCAGCTGTGGTAGCTCTGTGAAGCTGACCCCCGTCAGCTTCAAAAGTGCAGGCAAATAGGCTGCTCGGTCATAACTAGAGGGGTGAGGAGGACTGATGCAAACAAATGGGAATTACAAGGGAGTGACTAGGAGGAAAACATGAGGAAAGCCTAGAGGGAGCTGGGGAACACAAGAAGACACATGAGGAGAACAGGAGGGGGCTGGAGACCAAGGGGACACAGAACATGACACATTCACCTGGAAAACCAGAAATTAGAGTTTAAAAAGTCTGAAGAACAATTTGAACAGGAGAGAGCAGACACGACTGACTCTATATGATGAGAAGAAACAGAGGTATCCAATTTTATTTCCTTGGGTGAAATTCTCAAGGTGGCATGTGTGTGTGTGTGTGTGTGTTCAGTTTAATAATCAAGGTTAAAGGGACGAGCTCCATAAAGAAGGTACCCTACCACGAACTCCGCCACATGTTGTTGGCAGGATCTTAACTTTGTAGTATTCTGCTGAGTACCGACCCATTCCACCACAATGATCACTTGGAATAAGTATTCTCTAAAGGTATTTCTAATTTTTACTCAACTTTTAATGAAAGACATAAAATTGTGTAAAACTGACCGGACATGAGTCAAGGCACAATTATTCTTACATCAACACATCTACAATGACAGAGTAGAGGTTACAACGTCCTGATTTTCATAGAGAGGAGGACAAAAATACAGTTTTTAGTTAAATTTAAAGTAGAAAATTTCTGAAGAAATTTTTTTTATTGGACCTATCAGCTGGCACGAGTTAGTGGCTACATGTTAGAGGCCCAAACAATGCTATAGGGGTGATCACCCGCAATTAATGATATACCACACTTCCCACTTCATGTGTGGGGGTGCATGCATAAACAAAGGTGATCATCCAAATATAATTTTATAAAAGATGCTTCCTCTTGCCTTTCAGTATTAATTCGTGATAAGCCCAAGAAGACAAAAACATTTATTTGATTTTTCCTCCTGAGGCAGGTTTTTGAAGTTCTAGATTCTGGTTTTTGTTCAACGATGATGTAAATGAAAGTAGTTTGGTGTGGTAGGTGATTTCACGCCATCTGGTGGCAACAAGCTGGAACTTCTTCGGTAACAATAACAGAACCTGATCGCTCCATGAAAACCAGAATCTAGAACTTCACGTTTGAATCAGAAACCTTTCAGGCTTCTGCCTCAAGAGAAAAAACTAAATACACGCAGAAAACTCTAAACGAGGTTTTAGAGCATCTCAGCTGCACAAATATTCAGCAGATCAGGAGGTTTTTGAATACATGAGGATAGCTGGTGATCAGTTATTGGAAACAAAAATGCTTAAAAATAAGATTCGCACAAATTTCTTGTGCCTGAAGCAGAATGTTTCTGGGAGAAAAAAATCCCAACTGAGCCGCTGGAATGCATTAAATATTTTATTTACAGCAAATATACACGACAACGATGTTGATGTCAAACAACAGTTTGCATTTAAATGATTGAACTCAACACAAAGGGGTTGACACGGCTAGTCAAAAGTGTAACTCTGCAGATAAATTAGATTATAAACACGTTGATGCATTTTGTTTACATGAAGGAAAAACAGAATATAAGTTTAAATAATATAACAAACACTGGATTAATCATGTAAATGTAAAGAGAACAGGCTAAAGTAAACTACAGATGGTAAGGAAATGGTTATAAACAATGTTTTGTCCAAAGATTCATCAGCTGTGAGAGAAAATCAGGTCAGGTTCAGATATTAGTGCCAAAAGTAAAAAATAAATAAACATGCCCATTTTTATAGGATAAAACTGATCTGATTGTTTTATTGCATATGTTTTTTTAAATTAGAAAAGTTAATGTGATGAACGTTAGCTATATTGATAAAATTAAAGACACTAACTCTTAAAGAGTGCAAATGTGACGTTAAAGGTACAAAAACTCAGAGAGACAAAGGAATTGCTACAAAAACGATGCCAACGATGTTTACGTCAAACAATTATGTGATAACTCTTCTGCAAAGTCTGCAAGACGTCACGCCTTTCAAAGTAAAGCTTCATTACTCTGTCCAACCTGCATGATGCATAAATCAATCCTCTACAACAAGAACTGAATGCATCTGCCTCTGCTCCACCAGGTGTCTCCCTCCACCTACAGAAGCCCTCAGACGGTGGGGGTCTGGACGGAGGCAGGGCCTCCAGGATGGATGTGCTTCAGGTGGCAGGAGTGGCAGAGGAGACGGCCGTTCAGAGGGTAGCAGCGGTGACCCTCCTCATCATTGAGCTCCATCTTGCAGTCCTGAACAAAGCAGTGATGAAGATGAGAGCAACAGCAGGAGGAGGAGGAGACAACTGGTCTGCTTTTTACCAGCTTTGGAACACAAAATCCTGCATGAAGAAAACCTCGGTTCTTTGGTTGTTTCTAGTTTCCACCCAGCTAGCAAACCTTCTTCTAATAAAAGACGAACGTTTTCTACCTGCTTTCCTCGGAGCGGCATAATTACTGAGATTAATTAGGATCAAGCCTCTGAGGTTTTCTTTAACGAGGTTCTCAGAGACTCACCGTCAGGTGCAAAGCTTTTCTTTCTAACTTACAAGTTTAAAATCAAGTTTTTCTTCAAACCTACCTCACAGTGGTAACATTCCACATGATAGTCTTTTTCCATGGAAACAACTCGAATGGTTTCATCAGAGCCCTGGAATCAAAAAGTCCGACACACAATCAGAGGAGAGCAAACCCAGCAGCAAACACTCCGCCCTCTTCTCCTCAGTTCGATAGTTCATTAAATCATGAACTCTGCTCGACACATTTTATGGATTTTTGTTTTTTAGAGGAAATCATCACAAAAATTATCTTAAAATAAAAATAAATACAACTACTAATTTGCTTCAGTCACTTATTAATCATCAAGAAAATAAACCAATATCATTCCTGGTAGGAATGTACGTACGTACACACACACACACACACACACACACACACACACACACACACACACACACACACACACACACACACAGTATGGGTCATCTTTGATCTTTTGGTAGAGGATAATACACCAGGCTTACTTCTGAGGGCAGGATGGGTTGGTTACAGGCGGTACATTTAGGCGCCAGCACCCTGAAACAGTGAGCTAAAGTTAGCAACATCATCTGGAGAAGTGCTGTTGTTGTTTTAATCACAAAAAATAATATTGTCTTGTTTTCATTTCAGTTTCATTAAGTGATTTAACCCTTTTAACCAAGCAGGTGTCTAGGAGAGGAAACAGCTTTTCAAATGCATTTTCAGAGGTTTATCTCTCTGTGTGTGTGTGTGTGTGTGTGTGTGTGTGTGTGTGTGTGTGTGTGTGTGTGTGTGTGTGTGTGTGTGTGTGTGTGTGTGTGTGTGTGTGTGTGTGTGTGTGTGTGTGTGAAGAAGAAGAAAGTATCATTTCTATAGCGCCTCTCAAGATAAAAATCACGAGGCGCTTCACAAAATCAAAAAAATGTAAAAATATAAAAAAGCATTTAGAAAATGTTTAAAAATATATTTAAAATGAGCAAAAATAAGCAATTGGGATTTAAAAGAAAAAATGTTAAGAAAGAGAGAGAGAACATGAAAGAGGGAAATCAGTGGATCCTGAGGAAGGTAGAATAGGTGGGGAGAGCAGAATAAAGAGAGAGTGGTGAAGAAGGTCACACAAAAGCCAGCTTGAACAAGTGAGTCTTCAGCTGCTTTTTGAAGGAGACCACTGAGTCCACTGATCTCAGGCTCAGGAGGAGAGAGTTCCAGAGTCTGGGGGCCACAGCAGCAAATGATCTGTCACCTTTGGTCTTTAGCCTGGTGCTGCACAACCAGTAGGCTTTGATCACTGGACCTCAGGGACCTGCTGGGGGTGTAGGGACTAAGAAGATCACCAATGTAAGATGGTGCTTGTCCATGTAAGGCCCTATAGACCAGAACCAGGATCTTGAAATGAACCCTGAAGTTGACTGGCAGCCAGTGAAGCTGGAGGAGAAGCGGGGTGATGTGGGTGTGTTTGGAGGACTTGGTCAGAAGCCGAGCACAGGCGTTCTGAACCACCTGTAGACGGTTCAGGGAGGTTCTGCTCAGACACGTGAAAAGATAGTTACAGTAGTCTAAGAGTGAGGAGATGAAGGAGTGGAGAACTGTCTCAAGTTCAGCTTAGCAACGTTCCTGAGATGGAAGAAGGAAGAGCGAACAAGAGAACTGACATGAGAATCCACGGTGAGAGCTGGGTCAAAGGTCATGCCAAGATTCCTGACAGAAGGTTTGGTGTGGGAAGCAAGCTGACCAAGAGAGTCTGACTTTGGGAACCAGCTTGTCTGGGGCACAGATGAGGATCTCAGTCTTATCTTCATTCAGCTGAAGAAAGCTCCCAGCCATCCAGGTTTTGATAAGAGTCTAAGCAGGTGTGTGTGTGTGTGTGTGTGTGTGTGTGTGTGTGTGTGTGTGTGTGTGTGTGCGTGCGTGCGTGCGTGCGTGCGTGTGTGTGTGTGTGTGTGAATAAGGGTCACTCTTTCCAGCAGCAACGCTGTACACACAACAAGGTTTGCTTTATTTAAAGAGAGAGAACATGAGAGGGTTTCCAGTCGTGTGAGAGGGACCTCTGGGATTAGATCAGGGGTGTCAGACTCAGTTTCTTCTAAATAATCTTTAATGGATCTGAAACAGGCTACATAGATCTGGGATGTGATCAAAGGAAAAGCGAAACAATAGACTGAGATCTTAAATACACGGGTCGAGGAGATCAGCAAAAAGTTATTGGATAACAAAACGTCAGACATCTGTAGGACGGCTGAGCTCAGTGGCCATGAACACTGGTGTCTAATCACCATGCCACTAAACAAGAGAGATCATGTTAAAAAAACAAGCAGCCATGAAGTCTTGAAGGCAGACTCGAGGCATGAAGAGAGGAGCCTCCAGACTCCCCAACCTGTCTCAGGCTAATGCTGAAGAAGTCAGGCCATGGCATCAAAAAGCTCAACGAGCGGAAGAAGTCATGATTAGAAAAGCTCTCCAACTCGAGGGTCTCCTCAAAGTCCTGATGATGCAAGACAAAAGCCAGGCCCAGCATGGGGCGGTAGAGTGGACAGTTGGTGAAGAGCAGCTGGAGGTGGGATAAAACAGGTTCATGTATCTGAGGAGAGAACACCCCACAGCTATACCCTTGAAAATAAATGACTACATTTGTCATTATTGTGTTGTTACGGCAGGGCAGGAGCAGGCACACGTTTTACAACTTTGACTAAAAACACACACATTTTATCCTGCCCTGCCAAACCGAACCTCTCATCTATCCGCCACACAACGCAGACGGGAGCCTCGGTCCATCCGAGTCTCATATAGCAGCAAGGAAAAGTACCGAGGAGTCATTCAGCACGGACAACTCCAGGTGTGTGTTTGTGACTTAAGTCCTGCTCACCTGTGGTAGTCTTTCACGCAGTAGATCTCGTTCTCTGTGTCTACGGTGAAGGGTACTCCATCCAGGCTCTCGTTACAGATCACACAGCGGAAACAGCCGGGGTGGTAGGACTTCCCAAGAGCCTGAAGGATCTACCGACAAAAACAAATATTACAACTTCACCCACTTCCTACTCATTCAGCTTGTTCAAAAACAAATGAAGGTTTCCTAAAGCCCCAGTGTGCAAAAACATTCCACTCTTTAGTGCCAAAGTAGGTATCGCAGCTGCAGCAGGCCACGCATATCACTACTGCAATCCGTCATTAGGTGTTTCCACTGCCAGAACTTCTCACCAGGAGACAAGATGTCCCAGTCCTCTCAGCTATCTCCATTCAAATTCAGCCCTCTCAGAACTTTGACATCAGCATATCACAACTGCTTCAGCAGCGAGTGATGTCATAGATCAGCACCAAAAAGCGCTTTTACAGTTTCTGCGGCTTCCTATAGTCAGCGTCTCTCAGGGAATCGAGGGCCCTCTGTCCGTGTCCAGTGAACAGAAGTAGAACGGGTCTGATCTGTCTTTTGCAGCTGCTGTCTTCTCGCTCCAGTGCTGCCGCCTCTGCCGCGTCAACTGCGTTTGCTGCATCACTTGTCTCCTTGTCCCACGCCACAGCTATAAACGGCAGCTTTCACTCCAGCAATCACATGTAGTTAGAGCAAGGTTAGCAACCCAAATTTCCCCAGAATTCCCCAAATTTTCACCTGAAAAACCAGCATGTTTACCGTTACCGCCGGCTTCAACCTCCGACTGCTGAAATCCCGCTTCCATGAGTTAGTGGCAGACACCCGGTTACTTTGGGGCTAGTTGTGACATCTGGGCAAGGCTGGCAGCTTATTTTTCACCAGAAAATGGCGTTGTCGTCTCTTTTAATAACCGTTTCCAAACAGAAGGCGGCTATTTCAGCTCCGGCGTGCATCTTTCGCGGTCATCTTTCGTTTGCACAAAAGACATAATCAGTGTTTACCGGCTCCCCTTTTAAGTTTATTTTGAACCAGAAATACTCCCGAATTGCAGTTGTGTTGTTTTTAGACACCAAGTCAGCTGTTGCACCACGAGCTGCCATGTTTCTCTTGGCGCGCCGTCTCCGCGCTGTGATGACATCAAGTTCATCAATTTTATGGAACATCTCTAAAACTCGAACAAAACATTTTAAACTGCTTAAAACAGAAAAAATCAACCACAGTTTTGTTTTATGACTGTTAGGTTGATTGGTCTGTCTAAATTGTCCTTAGGTGTGAGTGTGTGTGCATGATTGTTTGTCCTGTGTGTCTCTGTGTTGCCCTGCGATGGACTGACTCTCTGTCCAGGGTGTACCCTGCCTACTTGCCCGTTGACTGCTGGAGATAGGCACCAGCCCCCCCGCAACCCTACGTGGACTAAGCGGGTTCAGAAGATGGATGGATGGATGGACATTAAATGACTTTTCTTTATCTGCTTTTATTTTTTAAATCCTTGTCTCCAACGTGCACGGTATTAGAACCAACACTGTTGCTATTTTTTAAAGATATCGGCCAGAGGCAAAATTCGTTTGAACAGCAAGTGTAAAGAAGTATTAAAACCTCAGATGAAAAAGGTTTTTGGATTTTGACGGCTGGAACTGTAAGAATATCTGATGTTTGTGACCGGCGCAGGAAAAACAGAAACCAACTTCCGGTCTAAGCCCTGGGCAGCTGGTGACGTTTCACAAGGAGCTCTGCTGAAACCGCTGTAGTAAACAACGCCTGGCTCCGGTGTTTCTGCGTTAGCGTTATAGCAGAGAACATTGTGTGATCAATCAGATGTAGCTTCTGAAGCCTCTGCTAGTCGGTCGGATTTGTTTTTTCTCTGGGATACAGCGATGAGGACGGATATTGGATTACCAGAGAAGTTCAACCGAACTCCGACCCCGCCAGCTGGATATCACTACCGGAGGTTTATGTTTATTCATTTAGCAGACGCTTTTATCCAGAGCGACTTACAATTTATAACCTATAGGGCATGTTGTGATCTGTGGGGGAAACCGGAGTACCCGGAGGAAACCCACGCATGCATGGGGAGAACACGCAACTCCACGCAGAAAGGCCGCAGCCAAGTTTCGAACCTGCGACCTTCATGCTGCGAGGCAACAATGCTAACAACCGCGCCACCATGCAGCAGGAGGTGCAGACATGTTTTGGACTGTTTGACTCTGAAGACCCGCGACCCGACTTGAACATCAAGGTGGATTCTGTTCATCTTCAGAACCAAAATCGGTAGTTTGTTTACTTTTGTTAAATATTTCATTTCTGTGCTCCACCAGGAGCTCTAAGCTGACGAGTTCTCAGCTGGTCTTAGCTCCATCATGTGTCCCAATATAGTTCAGTAATCTGCAGATATGTGTGCAGCCAGTTTTACCGCTCCATATACAGATCCTTCTCAAAAAATTAGCATATTGTGATAAAGTTCATTATTTTCTGTAATGTACTGATAAACATCAGACTTTCATATATATTAGATTCATTACACACAACTGAAGTAGTTCAAGCCTTTTATTGTTTCTAATATTGATGATTTTGGCATACAGCTCATGAAAACCCAAAATTCCTGCCTCAAAAAATTAGCATTTCATGAAAAGGTTCTCTAAACGAGCTATTAACCTAATCATCTGAATCAACTAATTAACTCTAAACACCTGCAAATGATTCCTGAGGCTTTTAAAAACTCCCAGCCTGGTTCATTACTCAAAACCACAGTCATGGGTAAGATTGCCGACCTGACTGCTGTCCAGAAGGCCATCATTGACACCCTCAAGCAAGAGGGTAAGACACAGAAAGACATTTCTGAACGAATAGGCTGTTCCCAGAGTGCTGTATCAAGGCATCTCAGTGGGAAGTCTGTGGGAAGGAAGAAGTGTGGCAGAAAACGCTGCAAAACGTGAAGAGGTGACCGGACCCTGAGGAAGATTGTGGAGAAGGACCGATTCCAGACCTTGGGGGACCTGCGGAAGTAGTGGACTAAAGGTTGGTTTATGCTTGACGCGTCCGCGAGGTCCGCACGGCTCCGCGCTGCGAAATTGCGTCATTTTAACAACCACGCCCCTCCACCGCGCCTCCGCACGGCCCAAAATTTCCGCAACGCGCACCTAGGAAAATTTCTAACCACGCGGACGGTCGGACGCGGAAAAACATGGCGGACCGGCAAGAACTAGTATGGCAGAGGTTCGTAAATACAGACATTTGTATGATTCAGCTCTCAGAGATCACCGTGATCAACATGTTGTTAATAATTCTTGGAGAGAAATAGGTCGCACTGTCGGAAAAGACGAGGACGCTGTTAAAAAATGCTGGAATGCCATGTTGTAAACAGTAATATCTACTTCTACTATGGTGTAGTGTTGGATGCATGCCGTAGAGCTCTATGCTGCCCCCTACAATTTGGGAGAATATTGGCTCACCGCAGAGACAAGCCGCATGAACCTATAAACGCTGCAAGTTGTGAAGCGCGTTCCATCCGCGAGCCGCATCAGAAAGTGAATGCGTCAAGCATCAACCAAGCTCGAGTCTGGAGTGGAAACATCCAGAGCCACCGTGTACAGGCGTGTGCAGGAAATGGGCCACAGGTGCCGCATTCCCCAGGTCAAGCCACTTCTGAACCAGAAACAGCGGCAGAAGCGCCTGACCTGGTCTACAGAGAAGCAGCACTGGACTGTTGCTCAGTGGTCCAAAGTACTTTTTTAGGATGAAAGCAAATTTTGCATGTCATTCAGAAATCAAGGTGCCAGAGTCTGGAGGAAGACTGGGCAGAGGGAAATGCCAAAATGCCTGAAGTCCAGTGTCAAGTACCCACAGTCAGTGATGGTCTGGGGTGCCATGTCAGCTGCTGGTGTTGGTCCACTGTGTTTTATCAAGGGCAGGGTCAGTGCAGCTAGCTATCAGGAGATTTTGGAGCACTTCATGCTTCCATCTGCTGAAAAGCTTTATGGAGATGAAGATTTCATTTTTCAGCACGACCTGGCACCTGCTCACAGTGCCAAAGCCACTGCTAAATGGTTTACTGACCATGGTATTACTGTGCTCAACTGGCCTGCCAACTCTCCTGACCTGAACCCCGTAGAGAATCTGTGGGATATTGTGAAGAGAAAGTTGAGACGCAAGACCCAACACTCTGGATGAGCTTAAAGCCGCTATCGAAGCATCCTGGGCCTCCATAACACCTCAGCAGTGCCACAGGCTGATTGCCTCCATGTCACGCCGCATTGAAGCAGTCATTTCTGAAAAAGGATTCCCGACCAAGTATTGAGTGCATAACTGAACATAATTATTTGAAGGTTGGCTTTTTTGTATTAAAAACACTTTTATTTTATTGGTCGGAGGAAATATGCTAATTTTTTTAGATAGGAATTTTGGGTTTTCATGAGCTGTACGCCAAAATCATCAATATTAGAAACAATAAAAGGCTTGAACTACTTCAGTTGTGTGTAATGAATCTAATATGTTTATCAGTACATTACAGACAATAATGAACTTTATCACAATACGCTAATTTTTTGAGAAGGACCTGCATATATTGATATAACTCCAGAAAATATATAATAGCTTACCAGACTAAATCTTCCTGATGCTGGAGTAACTCCTTAGTTTGACTCATTTGCACTAATCCAGGATGGCACGGACGTTCTACTGGTCCATGGAGGATCTATTGATGGGGATCATCTTTTAGATTATATCTGTGTGTGTCATAGTTTTCCCAAATGGCTTGTTTTATTCTTTACCGGAGCCAACACAGGTAACAGTGTTGCTGCAGTCATGAGTCCAGACGTACCGGTGCGGTTCTAGATGGATTTATAGATGTAGGTTATTATTTTAGATCAGACCTATGTTACTTAAAAATGCGTGTAGGACACGGACATATGGCTCAGACCTTTTGCTGCAGCTGTTAACGCAATATTCTGTAATAATTAAGAGCACAAAAGTAAACAAAATACAGTTATTCACAATAATAGCATCAGCAGCTACCTTGTTGTACATGTTGGAGTGACGAAGGCGGAACACAGTTCTTGACTCTCTGGAGGAGAGGATTTTGATTTTCTGTAATGATTTATGACAAAAGTCCTTACCAAAATGAAAAGCTGAACCCAGTTCATATTTATATCGATGGTAAAGTGTAGTTATTGTGAATTTCTACAATTTTAATGCCGAGTCTGGCCAATTCCTTTAACACCGGCTGTATACAGTAATACCGTAATACCGCCCAAGCCTAGTACTCACCAAGCAAATACCTTTCAGATCATCACATCTACTGATTTTACTTCCAACCGCAGACATTCTCTCCCTTTAGACAAAACTTTTACAGACATAAAAATCAGTATATGATGTCTGGTTAACGGTGTAGTGACCGGCTTAGGACTCTGATTGGTTCTTTTCTCGTCAAATCCCGCCTGTTCCATTTTCTGATGGGTTCTTTTTTGCTCGTCTCCCATCTTTTCCGTTTTCTGATTGACTAATACGAGACAACGATGATCCAATGAAAGCGTCGGTCAATAGTCGTCATAATTTAGTCTTTATTGGTGTGCTTTCATAGCCTGGCCTGCCAGACTCGTCCTCTGTTTAATTCTGCACAGAGAAAGAGTCTGGTAACTCACAGGCAGAGAGGCACTTGAGGGGCGGGACTAGCCAGGTCAAAAACAACCAATCAGAAAAAAGACGGAAATGCAGACTGTACCGCGCAACGCTGTAGTTTTCTTTTAGCTGTAGTAAAAATGGCGTCTGGCGACTGCGCAAACATCTTTTATTTGTGTAGAAGAAATGCTTTTAGCGCTTCTACTTGCTGTGGTTTTAAAGACATTCAAGTCATTTGGAACAGAGGAAAGAGCCGCAGCAAACTCCACTTCAGTCGCCATGTTTATGACAAACTCGGTGTCGTGGTGTGTGACGTACGCTACTCAGCACCGATTGGCTCGGTTAGAATTCTCAGGGGGTGGGGTTATTTGAATAGGAGAGCTCCCAGACCCTTTCTCTGTGCAGAATTAAACAGAGGAGGAGTCTGGCAGGCCAGGCTAGTGTTTTCAGGGATTTTATGTTCGCAAAAATTAATTTGTCACGAAAGAAAAATGAAAATATTTAGTCAACAAAATTAACACCAATAAAAATGTTACATTTCAAGCTTATAGAAATATTTTGAATAGACGTTGGTGAGAAACATGAATGAAAAAGGAGAAGTTTGTGAACGTGATACACAGAATCTGATAGTAAACAAGTGAAAATTGTACACACTGTGCCTTTAAAATCATGTTACGGTTTTAAGAGTGACTGCCTAAAAGGATTAAACATTATTACAGCCCAGAAAATGGCAAAATTAGGTTACTTAATATAATTTAAGACATTTTTAAGTCATTCTGGACGTTTCACAAATAGACCACAGTACAGTGTGTTCCAGCAGCATTCCATCAAATCTTATTCAAAATGTCTGCAGGACTGAAAAATCCTTTATACTGTGACCTAATGACTAATTGAGTCTTTTAAAAGTTTATTTGAGTGGAAAAAGCTCCAGAGTCAAGTCTCCTGAGGTTTATCCAGATGTATACACGCTCACACACACACACACACACACACACACACACACACACACACACACACACACACGCACGCACGCACGCGCGCACACACACACACACGCCCACACTTACCATGTCCATGATTAGATGTCCACATGCGTTACACTTGTCAGCAGACTGCTGGAAACCAGAGTACTAGAACAGAAAGAATGGCCGTCTCAGTGGAGAATGAGATCTCCATCCAGAGTGTTGAAAAGTCACATTTTCACCCAGAAAGAATTCAAAATCAGCCTAAACTGCTAACAAATGCTCTTACTGCGTGCTATCAGTAAAGTCTGAGAGCAAAGCCAGAGTTTAAATGTGTGGATTACGAGTTTTATATCTGTGACTCTGTTGGGTCTTCACTGCCCTTTGACCTATAAAGCCAAGGGAATCCACTTTTGGAGTAGCTGACCTCCACCCAGACCCGCCCGCAGGAGAAAGGTGACATGAAGAGGCCACGTTAGATATCAGAAGGGTCAAAGGTCAAGGCTCACACAGCCCATGTTTTTATTTTAGATTAATGAATGGAATACCTCCCAGAGTAGTCTGTCTGATTTATGTGTGTGTGTGTGTGTGTGTGTGTGTGTGTGTGTGTGTGTGTGTGTGTGTGTGTGTGTGTGTGTGTGTGTGACGCACCAGGAAGTCCTCTTCACAGAAAACTTTCCCTCCAACATAGTAGAAGGCCTTCCCTCTCAGCCTCCGACCTGCAGAAACGGACATTGTTCACCAATAAAATAAACCGAGTCTAATTATTGTTGTCGGGTTGGAAACTTTGCACTTTTTATGTTTAAGAAATAACAAAAGCAGATTAACACAGATTATAAAAGTAAGTTATGATAAAATGTCACAGTGGAAGTTTCTGCATGAGCGATGATCTAAATATCAGAAAATAGCTTCAGCACTAATGCACGAGGACTGCAGTGATTAATCTCTGCCATTCGAGGTAATGGGTCCTCGTGCAATATTCACCATGTCCTGCTGAATCCAGAAGGCATGAATCAAATACAGGATCTGTGGATTTGTGGTGTCTTAAAGAAGCATGCAGCAAGGAGACAAGCAGTACATCTGGATGGAACATGTGTGAGGGGAAAATGCTGATTATGGCCAATTACCATGCAGGTGCAACAGATTAAACACTCGGCTTGATTTGATTTCATAGCAACCACGGGCCAAAGACAACCAGGACTGGTCGGTTTTTCCCCTTTGTTCCTTTCCAGTGTCGTTCCACACGGTTGGTGTGTTTCCTGTCTGTCTGTGTATGGTCTGGATCACTCACACACACACACACACTCACACACACACACACACACACACACACACACACACACACACACGTGTACAAACCTTTTTCACTTCACATAGCTATTTTTGTACAGGTCCCACAGGAAGAGGGAACATTCCTCACATTTTCTGTGTGGGAGGTTAGAAGGGTGGACATGGTGTGTTTTTGTGCGTGTGTGTGTGTGTGTGTGTGTGTGTGTGTGTGGGGGGGGGGGGGGGGGGGGTTCCCGTCCTGCAGTTTACCTGATCATTCATACACGCACTAATCCAGATCACCACATTGAGCATAATTAGCACACACATTGTCACAAGAGAGAAAGAGAAGAAAAACTCAACACAGATGAGCTGCAGAGTTCATCTTTTACCTGATGATCATAAAAAATTAAGGGAACGTTTGCTCTTTAGTGATGACGAAGAAGGTAAAAGAATAATGGGAGTCTGCTCCTGCAGCTGCCTTGGTCAGGCCAAAGGTCACACAAGGAAAGAGGAGATGAGTCATGCAGTTCACTACCAAGGTGTGCTAATGAGGTAATTATTGACCAACACCGTCCCCACCAAAGTCCTGGGTGAGGGGGATGAAAGCCAGTTACGAACCACTCCTCCTCTTCACATTCTTGTCCCTTTTTCCCCAGCGAGTCAGTAAAAGAAGGCTCTGAGCTCTTCTAGAAGATAAGACAGCCTAATTAAAGTCAGGACTGATGGCTAGAAAAGCACCAGAAAGACTGTTATGCTTTCATAAAAATGTAAAGCACCTGAGGGACAGAACAAATCACAAAGCCATTTTCTAATTAAACCATTCTATGGGTTCTCTGGTGTAATCCCATAAAAAAAGTCCATTCACACTGACCTGAGACTTAACCTTGTCCTGCCCCTTCCCCCTTGGCACATTACTCAGGTGAGACAAGCTCAGAAAAATAACTAAAAAAAAAAAAATATATATATACTGATTTCTAATTAAAAGCTGCTTTAAAGAAACATTTGGACTCACATCAAGTCATTTTCTCAAATATCCAAAAGGCTGCCGGGGTTTAAAGATTTATAGTTTATATTATGGCGCTTTGAATTCCTTTAAAGTATAATAAAGTAATAATAAGGTAAGTGATGGGTTTCTAATGACGTAGCGTCCACATTACCAAATGCAGATGGGGGGCAGGAAGTAGCCGCCACTGCACAGATCCCTATTTACTCCGTTGACTCCAAGTCAAAAAGCCCACATTTGGTGCCGTCTACGGTCACAATCGCTCTAATCTGGACAAAGACAAACTTTTTTTCGTGTCCCGAAAGTAGTGCGCCACAAATAAAAAATATTTTCTGAAAGAAGATGGCAGAAGTGCAGGCTTATCTCTCCAGAGTGTGTGACAAGTCTGACTTTTTTTAACTATATGGTCATAACCTAAAAGAAGATGCATGTTTTCACGATGTTGCATCTGTGTCGAACCATTTCAAGCCTTCATATACTCGCGTTCATCCATCACGCTGTCTTATGATGGAGCTAAAACCTTATTGCCCTCATTTGGGTGTTGCACGACTTCAGGGTCATGTGAGAGAAAACCCCAAACTGTTTAACTTTGTGCTACTTTGATTAAACTCATTCAAGCCACTGATAATGTGTTACCCATCAAGCTTGAATACATTTAGATTGTTGTTACATGTGAGCATAATGAGTTTACTTCCTCAGCCACTCCTCTCCTACTGGTGTTTAATTTTTCCTGTACTGACACCTAGAGCTAAGGAGGGGGACTGCAGATGATATTCATAGGCATATCTTTAATAACAAAAACAGCAGTTCCCCGGGTAAAAATCTGTGTCTTCCAAAAGAATGATGAGAGAAGGAAGCTCGACCCAGAAAACTAATACTGGGCCGATTGTGACTGCTGTGATGGAGACAGCAGGACCCACAAATGAACTAGAACCACAGCTGACCGGAGCTTTAAGTGCTCCACAAAGGTAGCATTAACATAAGACCTTCTCCCTTCCGTAGCTGAATGTTTGCAGACTGCCGTCCCTGACACAGACCGGAAAAGGACCACCTGCTGCTCATTCTGGGAAAAAAACTTTCAGAAGTGACACGTTCATTTTTTGCAATGTTACCAGAGGCAAACTGACCATTCAGGAGGACCAGGACATTTCCAGGTGGTCTGGCCACTGAACTGCCCCACTCTACGAGAACAGACCCCCCCCAACCCACCCCCCCCCCCAGGAGATTCTACGTTGGATAATCGAGTCGATAACACCCCCTACCCCCACCCCATTCGAAAGGAGAAAAGGCAGAAACTCCCAAGTCTGTGCAGAGATGGTATCAGATTGCGGGCCTGAATTATTGACCCACTCCACCCCCGAATGCTACTGTAATGTCGTCAAACATTTGTATGTTAAAATCAATCTCTCCCACGTATCGAAATGACAGCTATACAGTTTACCCCCACACCCCCATTCCTACCCAAGTTCGCTTAGGGCTGATTCACACAACAGAATAATCGTGCTGATTTTTGCCCTGACCCCTGTCCAGCAATCCTAAGTGTGCCCTGACCGCCGTAACGGCTTTAAAGATAATCTTATCACATATTCCAACTGTGTGTGGTGTGTTAAGAGCGCTCTGGTCTGTTCAGAAGCACGTTGGGAATGTTCCAATCAAATATTCGACACACTTGCTCCTCTGTGTTCCAAAGTAACGGCTTAAACTAGAGGTGAGCATTCCTTCTCGGTTTGTGGTCCTAATTTTGGAATGATCTCCAAGTCTTGGTCGAAACGTCTCCATTGCTGAGCACGTTCAAAGTTCACCTTGAAACTCATTTACTTGTTCTGGCTTTTAACTCATTTTAAGTTCTGATGTCGCTGTGCTTCGAGTGGTGTTTATGCTGTGGTTTTTGGTTGTTTTATACCGATTCTCTATACAGCTCTTTCCATTTTATATCCCACTAAAATGTTGTCTTAGGTAGGCCCTGTTTCTGTTGTTTCATTGCATTTTATCTCTGTACAGCCCTTAGTTGGGGTCTTCAGCACAGTGGAAAGTACTTTATAAATAAACCGGAACTGGAACATCAGTGAAATCCAACACGTTGTTTGTCCTGGCCCGACATCAACTATTGTATCCCTGACCTTTGAAATTGCCTCGCCATGTGTGGAGTCTTATGTTTTGAAAATTGTCCGACATATTTGGAATCCAGCCGTTTGAGCCGGGCCTTGGACAGCTCACTCACCTTGGAGGTTCTTGTGGACAAAAGGTAGGTTTGAGTTCCTTGTTAGTGTGTCTGTTTACACTGGCTGGGTGTGGTGGGATGCACGCCCCGCTGAATGCCTTCCCTGTCTACAATGTACTGCTTCGACTCCCACTCAGCTGACACAACAGCACCCACTGTCCCCCTGGAGCTCAACCTACTCAGGGCCCCTGCACACTCCTGCATTCCTCCCCAGTCGAGATGTTTTTCCCTGTGGCCACTTAAAGCGACCCCTAAACTCCTCACATGCAGCCAGCTATGAGTGGTATGTGGTGTGTAAACTCCCCCCACCCCCACCCCCCTCTGTGTCAGACATCAGCCTCGCTCTGAGCCACAACGTCTCCGCTCTTTTATCTCCTCTCTCTCGTTCATACACAGGATGGAGTTCAGGAAGAAAACAGAGATGTTTATCACACATTTGAGAGCAGAACTGGTGGAGGTCAAAGGTCCTGCAGAACAATGAGCCTTAGCTGGGGCCTCCACCTCTTTAGCACAAATACTCCACATACCCATGATCTGATAATTAGAGGAGGGATCTTAATTAGATGCAGCGGAGGGCCAAGTCCTATTTTAGCCATGGGAAACGCTGTATTCTAGACACTGAGGGGGTCAGTAATGCAGCAGATGAAAAGCTTTTAGTAATGTTAAAGGAAACACAAAGTAAACATTCTATAAAAGCATGTCTGTGATTTGAAATAACCAGTGACTTTCAGCCTCGAGTGCTGAATCCATTTCTCTTAAAGGTACTCTTTTGTAAAATCCAAACTGCAGGCAGGTAAAAGGTCCAGCCCTGTGTGTCTTTGTGTGGGCTGAAGAAGGGATTGGCACACCCTCAATCCAAACACCAGCAGTACATGACAGTAATCTCTCAATAACTGTGTGTTTTCCACTGGGGAAGGAAATGACTGGGAAAGGTGCCACTTTCATTCACAAGTGTAACCTGTTATTATGGGGGTGATTTACCCATCACATGTGGCGAGAAGTGTTTTAAACTGAATGTACTTACTGCAGGCGCTGCAGGTGAAGCAGGAGTCGTGGTAGAGGCTCCCCATGGCCTGGCAGGCCTGGCTGGACCCATAAACAGCCTTCTTACACCTTACACAGACTCCTGGAACATGGCAATCACATAAAAACAATCAAATCTACAATACAACCTCACCATTAGTGTATAGAGACGGACAACAATAAGCTCACAAGTCAGGGAGCTGGTTTAGTAAGATGTATTAGAGAAAGGGGAAATTATATCCCAGTGTGTTTATTTGACTTGGCTCTGAAAGCCAGGGTTCTGTTAATAAAGAAGCTGATAAAAATCAAAGTGTGCCTACGCTCACAACACACGTAGAAACTGGAGATCATTTTTTCATGATAATCACCAAATCAGTCACGTCAAGGAAAATACGATCAAATGTGCAAAGAAAATCGGCTCAGAGGGACGACCGAACCCGTGACAGAAGCAGTTTTCTCCGCCATGTTTATTGGGAGAAGAAGCACAGCATGTGGGAGTGAGTCGGCTAATTGCATAATCACTCCTTTGACTCTGGACAACTCCTGAACAACACAAGGGCTGTGTGCGGTCAATGTGGCCTAATTTCATCAGGAGCTTCTCTCCAGCAGTGGAGGCTCCAGAGATGTTTCTCTGCAGGTGCTATGGAGGAGATAGTCTTTTTATTGAGGGCGCTATGAAGGAAGTGGTCATGCGTACCTATTGTTCTCTAAAACACCTTCAACACTAGCAGATACACATGCGTGCACAACACCTCAATAACACCTGAAACAGTCATTAATATACATCATAAACATATGAACAATCGCTGACTTTTCCATGAAATCATAAACACATACAGCCACACAGAAAACCATCTAGTGTTGCAAGGTTAGCTAACGTTAGTGTTAGCATTTCCAGCTGCAAAACCCTTGACTGCTGCGGCGGTTGAGGTTTGACTCTCTTCATCCAGATCCGTAGGGTTTTTATGGGTCTGAGATCACTTCCAAAGATTCATTCGTTTCCGACTGAACCCGTGGAAATGTGGGCAACAAAGTCCGATCCATTTTACCTCTAGCTCTACCTTTCACTCGTTCACAGGAGGAAAATGAGGTCAAAGGTTAACATCAATTTCCCGTTTTGGTTTAAGTTTTTACTATCTACAGTATATGATAATTTACTGATTATTTTTGTTTTGTATGTATTATCACATCCACATGCTGAATTAAAATTAAATTGTAAAAAATAAATAAATAAATAATCTAATATTTACTTGGGGTGCTTATGGGGGTGCAATGACTAATCCAAGGGTAGCTATAGCACCTCCTAGCGCCCCGCTGGTGCCGCCACTGCTCTCCAGAAACTTCCATGAAAATTTTGTTCTTCATCTCGCATTTTTAGCTCTACATATTTGCCTCTTGAGCTTCATAAGTGACATATAGGGAGCCTAACACCAATCTACTTCCGGACCATGGGTCCCCGGAAGAATGAAAAAACGAATGTAAGTCAACGAGGCTAAAAACGCTATTTTCTAATCGGGTTTGTCTTGTCCCATAGATTCCACATTTGATGGCCGTGAATTTTAAAGACACATTCTGATGCCAAGAACAAGCTTATTTTTGACTGGGGGCAAAAGTCATTTTAGGTTTTGTGTGAAAATACGTCCAGGACTACAAATGTGCATCACTAAAGTGACAACATCAAACCAGACGTGGAGAAAAGCTAAGGGAAAACGGTTTTAAGTTCAGCAAACTTCAAATCCTTCCTTTTAAGATAAATGAACCACCATAAATCTGGTCACATGGTAAGTAGCAGCTACGCTAGGGGAGAGGAGATTCTGTGGTGACGTCACATATGCAACGTGCAGACGTCTGATTGGTATTCATGCTAATTAGGGCTGCACAATATATTGCAAAAATATCGGTATCGTGATATCAGCATGTGCAATATGCATATCGCAAAGAACAGATAAATATCGCAATGAATGGTCAGCTCAAATGTTTGCTACACATAATGTATTCTGTCAATCAAACAGAAGCATAATTTTTTTTTAACAAATCAAATAGAGCTCTTCATCCATTCGGCCAATTAGGTGGGTTCTCATAGGTCAGATGTCCGCCCATGAGGCGGACGGCACTTAAGTTTGATGGTTAGCAAACACCTGAGTTAGCTTTGTTCTGCTCTTCCTGCTGTTTCTGCTTTTCCCGGGATCCACGGATTGCCTTTTCTTGTTCGTTTTCTTTTCCCTTTCCTCATATCTTTTGCTTCTCTTATTTTTATGATTTTTTGGTAATTTTTTTTATTTCTTTGTTTTTGATTATTTTTTGTTCCTGAGTTAAGTTTTTATTTATCGCAAGTAATATCGTCATCACAATATTAATCACTGTTATCGCATATCGCAGGTTTTCCTAATATCGTGCAGCCCTAATGCTAATTAAGAACATTTGCAAACTGATAAATCTCAAAGTACGTGACTGGCGTTGTCGAAACACCCATCAATGCTTTTCATTCAAATTCAAGTATAACATACCGGGTATGTGCAATCCAGGGCGTAAAGCAAAGCGGATTAGAAAATTGCTCTGTTAGCCCCGTTGACTTGCATTCATTTTTTCGTTCTTCCGGGGACCCATGAGCCGACCCAAAAGGGAGGAGACTTAGGCTCCCTATTGACTGATCGTTGTCGTCAGACAAAAAAAAAATCCGATTTTTTTGTGGCTAAATACTCTTCTAGTGGTTTTTGCTTTCCAAACAGTCTCTAGTCTGTTCAAATTAATTGTGCTTAGAGACAACAGGATTAATAAGCTAAAGGTTAGTTCAAGCCCAGCCGAGACCAAAGTTGATTCCTGCTGATCACATATATTATTTTGCAGTTTTAAAAATCCTACATAGTTGGATAGGAAGATTGGGCGATATATAAGACTCTTCCAATTGATATTCATCAGTCCAAATAAATGACAATGAGCCATATATTCCTGTGGATGACATTTAGACGTTCTGAGAACCTGAAACACCTTGCAAACTGTGATCCACCAAACACAATTGTGTCAAAATCAGTTTGTGGAAGGAGACCACAAAGGGGTACATGTGATATTTCGTTACTGTCTGCCTTTCATTGGCTATTTGATGCATCACCAACAACACGTTGGAATTGGGTTGAGCTACACAAACCTGGGGGTTTGTACTACTGACCTATCGACAGATAGCTGACAATTTTGCCTCAGCAGAGGAGACAACACTCGCTACCTGTGTCTACAGTTATTGAATCCTTGATTGAAACAGATCCCTGGAATAACAGAAATTCTAGCTTTCTAATGTGTACAAAATATATATGTGCATAGAGTGTGTTGCAAAAAAGATGTTGATTTGACATGGAAGTTTGTTCTGTTTCATCCGTGAGGCTAATTCACAGCCATATAAAATATTGCTCATAAAAGTGATCTGCAAATGGCTCAGATTATCACAGATGGTTGACAAATTCATCCAATTACCTAATCTTACTGTCTAGTTCACGTTATACGTTATTGTATAACAGTGGTCTGCAATAGGTGGGCCATGTGCGGCCCACGGGCCATCTCTTTGTGGCCCTTGAACCCTGCACTCCCCGGGACAAAAGGCAAACAGGAGATGTGCTGACACATAGAGGGCTGGTGTAATGAACAGCCAGCAGCAACGTGAGAGCAGGATAGCGCAGGATAGCTTTGATGGTCGGGGAGGTCGCCAGTCAGACCTAACAAACCCAAATGTATTGTGAGGGTCTGCTGGGAACATCTGGCAGTCTCCTTCCAGAAGAAGTTTCAATTCCCCCCTCCGACAGAACTTTCAAAACGTTCCAGGGGAGGCTGGGGACACCGAGTCTGAGTGGGACATGTTCTGTGCTTCCATTGTCGAGGCAGCCGACCAGGGCTGCAGCCACAGGGTCGTTGGTGCCTGTTGGGGTGGCAATCCCTGAACCCGCTGGTGGACACCGTAGTTAGGGATGTCATCAAGCTGAAGAAAGAGTCCTATTGGGTCATTTTGGCCTGTGGGACTCAAGAGGCAGCTGATGAGTACCGGGCGGCCAAGCGGCATGCAGCCCGGGTGGTCACAGTGACAAAAACCCGAGCTAGGGAGGAGTTCGGTAAGACCATGGAGCAAGACTTACATTCGTCTCAGGAGGGGAAAGCAGTGCGCTACCAATACTGTTTATAGTGTGGATGGTATTCTGCTGACCTTGACGCAGGACGTTAAGGATTGGTTGCCGGAGTACTTCGAAGACCTCCTCAATCCCAGCGGCACGTCTTCCAGTGAGGAAGCAGAGCCTAAGGACTTTGGGTTGGGCTCTCCAATCTCTTGTGCTGAGCTCATTGGGGTGGTCAAAAAGATTCTTGGTGGCGAGGCTCCCGGGGTGGATGAGATTTGCAAAGAGTTCTTTAAGGCTCTGGATGTTGTAGGGTTATGTTAGCCGACGCGGCTCTGCAATACTGCATAGACATTGGGGGCAGTCCCACTGGATTGGCAGATCAGGGTGGTGGTGCCCCTATTTAAAAAGGGCACCTCAGGATGTTTTCCAACTACAGGGGGATCACACTTTTGAGCCTCCCCGGTAAAGTCTATTCAGGGATTCTGGAGAGGAGGGTCTGGCAGATTGTCAAACCTCGGATTCAGGAGGAACAATGTGGTTTTCATCCTGGCCATGGAACACTGGACCAGCTCTATACCCTTAGGGGGGTTCTAGAGGGTGCGTGGGAGTTTGTCCAACCAACGTGTTTTGTGGATTTGGAGAAGGCATTCATCTGTGTCCCTCTGGGGCCCCTTTGGGGGGTACTTCGGGAGTATGGGGTACCAGGCTTTCTGATACAGGCTGTTAAGTCCCTATAAGACAGAATGCCAGAGCTTGGTCCGCATTGCTGGCAGTAAGTCGGGCTCGTTTCTGGTGGTGAGAGTTGGACTCCGCCAAGGCCTTTGTCACCAATTCTGTTCATAACTTTTATAGACAGGATTTTTAGGCGCAGCCAAGGTGTTGAGGGGATCTGTTTTGGTGGCCTGAGGATTGAGTCTCTGCTTTTTGTAGATGATGTGGTCCTGTTGGCTTCATGAGAACATGACCTCCGGCTCTCACTGGAACGGCTTGCAGCCGAGTGTGAAGCAGCTGGGATGAGAATGAGCTTCTCTATATCTGAGACCATGGTGTGAGTCGGAAAAGGCTAAAATGCCTTCTCCGGGTCAGGGATGAGGTCTTGCCTCAAGTGTAGGAGTCTTGTTCACGAGTGAGGGAAAGATGGAATGTGAGATTGACAGGCGGAATGGTGCTGCATCTGCAGTAATACTACTACCCCCACGAGCCAACCCCAGATGAGCTCTACTTCTCTGAACAGAAGCCACTCAGGAAGCTATCTACAGTGGGGAGGTAGTAATTATTTATAACTTTTACACAGAAATACACTTCAAAAGTCCAAACATAGGGGTTAAGCACACACTGATTAAGTTTTCCCTTTTGCGTATGCACACAGACACATGGTTATCTGTGTGTGTGTGTGTGTGTTTTTATAGAAAACCTCCCTGGAGACAAAGATTTGGAGCTCAGCAGAAGAGCACCGCCCAACCCTGCTTCTCCTACAACACTGACAAAGAAACTTTTGTTTCCACTGTACCCAACATGCGTCACACAGCTGCCTCCCCCCAAAAACACACTGCTACACTTCATAATCATGTTCAACCGAATCTCCTCATTGACTTTTAAGTGATGGAAGATATTGCATATAGTTTTAATTTTTCTATCCACTAAAGTCAGCACATCATCAGGGACCCTGGAGGCTCGAGAGCAGATTTGGAGATAACAGGATATTATTGGAAAACTAAAGAATGCTGTTCTGGTCTAATTTTGCTTACATGAAAACACAAAGAAGTTGTCACAGATTGAAACGACACAAACAAGTTAGTGTAGCTTTTGTATAAAAAAACAATTAAAAGATAACCAAAAGTTAGTATTTTGCTGTAAATTTATTTCTTACATCAGTACCCTCTTCAACGCTTCGGCCGCTACCTTTACTGCTCTTGGCCAAAGCCCCGTGTCCCAAAACAGAGTAACATTTATTTAGAGGACCGACTTTGAGGGGGCTGGGAAACCAAACATGCAACCCCCACCCCCCAACACACACACACACACACACACACCTTTCCAAGCTGTCAAAAACCATCAGTACTGCTCCGTGTCTGACATGCAAACCACTAAGTAAGCTGTGTACTTCAGTTGAAATTGTAGAAAATACTAGGGGTGCGTCGATCTATCGGCCCCGATCTCGGGTTTTTTTCAAGATCGGTGATCGGCCAAAAACTGCAATAGGCAGTCTACTTCCGGATCATGGGTCCTTGGAAGAACGAAAAATGAATGCAAGTCAATGGGGCTAAAAGAGCTATTTTCTAATTCCGCTTGTTAGGCGCCATGGATTTCACATATGATGTCCATAAATTTTAAATACGCATTTTGATACCAAAAACGCACTTTTTTCGAACAGGGGAAACGTTATTTTAGGGTTTGTGTGAAAGAAACTCCAGGACTAGAAAATTAGAAAAATGAAAGTCTAAAGGAACAAATATGATTTTGTAGTTCAAACAGCATTGCTAAATATGTTCATTTATATTTGAGAACATCGCCTCATGTCCATTTGAAACTGGTAAGTGTTTCATGAGTATTCACACTGGTTTTCTCAATAAAAGGACATTGAAACATTGACATAATCTGCTTTTAGTTAGGACAAAATCTGTATCTGCAAGTCAGGTTTTTCTCCGGATTGGTGATCGGCCAAAAACTACAATCAGTGCACTCCTAGAAAAGACCCCCCTCTGTCTGCTGAAACATAAAAAAAGAGAGATTGTCCTTTTAGAATATTCAAATTGTGTTTATGGCATCCAAAGAGCTCCTCACCTGGACTCACAAAGACAGAAGCGGTCCTGTTTTCTGTGTGTTTCTGTTTAGCCTCTGAAATGTTTGAATATTGTATAAAATTCTATGCTGATGACTTTTATTGAAATGATGCGGATTTAGCAGCTTAAACACACATAAATAAACCTAATTCAATTTCAAAGGCATGCTAATCAACGGTGATAGTAAAAATTGTGTGTGTGTGTGTATGTGTGTGTGTGTGTGTACGAGTGGCTGCCAATGAATCATTTTCTAACTTCTACAGCTGCACACACACAGATTCTACACCCAGACCTGACAGAATATTAAATCCTGTCAGTTTCCTATATTTTCATAGACAAAAGCACTAAAATGTGGAGGATGAGGTGACGCACACACACAAACACACACACACTGAGCCTGCCAGAGCAGAAGCCAAAAATCCCTGGGAAGAGTTAATACAGTGCGTTCCACTCAACGGCCAGATGGGATAAATTAATCCTTCATCTTAACACGGCATTAAACTCTCCAGCGAGCGTCTGTGAGACTGACATGTCCCACTGCTTCTCCTCCTTGGATGAACTTGACTGTAAATCTCAAAATCTTTGGGGCTCATGGGGCCAAACACAAAACCCATCTCTCAGCCGTCTACTTTTCCATTCACCGACACCACGGGTTCCCCTAAACCTGTCTGGGACAGGCCCCCCAGCGACAACCCCTGTCCCTATTGCATCCTAAACCCTCATTTCTAACATTCCTTCAGACAGACATTCTCCAGTGTTCCCCCGGTGCTGCTATTTGGCACTGGACTCTTTTTCCCAGAACCTCCAACTCCAGTTATGCTGTGATGCACGTTGTCCTGGGATACGGATTGGGAATCAGGGAAAAGTTCTTGTTGCATTAGAAGATGCTAAAAGCAAAACACAAGCACATTTACCGAAGACAGCTGCTATTTTTAATAACTTAAAGCTCCTCAAAAGCTTTAAAAGATCGTGACTACACAGAAAGGAGCCTCCGCGGTTGTGTTTTCTGGAGAATGAATCAGGATGAGCCACGATCCGGTGGGAAACCCCTCACAAGAACAACTGTATGTGTGGGAATGAGTACCGTTTATATCCTGGATCAAACCTACATTTCTGATGGTTGCGTTCTGTGCTCTCCTACACATCTAGGATGTTCTTGTTGACGATATCTATGAAGCATCTCGTGACATTTGCGTATAATTGAGCCTCTTCCAACACAAGCACACTCAGGAACTGCAATCGTGACATTCCAACAGGAAATTCCTCCTGCAAGAAGGTGAGGGTAAGTGGTGTGTTGTGGCGTCTTATACGTCGCCCATCTCACAACGCTTTCCTTCTCATTGTCCTGCTTTTGAGAAAGAAATCGGCTTCAAAGACTTGGCAAACAAACGGAATCCATCTTCCCTACATCCTACGTTTCTGCCATGTGACAGCAGCCTTTGAACTGATGTCATGGATAAGTATCCATTTTCAAAACAGCCGAGCGGAGCGGCTAAATAAAGTGCTAAAAGCACTGATATGTGAAACAGAGACCACAAAGTTGTGCTGATGGACATTCGTCTCCACCGCTGCCACATCTGCAGGCAGAGTAATGCCTGCCTGGTCTTTATACGGGCCCCAAATGCCAGCAGTAGTGGTCACAGGTGTTGTCGTTCGTCGTCATTAAGCAAGGAAGGACTGAAGTGAAGAGTCTAGGAGTTAAAAGCAGAGGATGCTGCGCCAACAATTACATATTTATATTTTTAGGAGGAGGAAATGAAAATACTTTTTCCTCCATCTTTTCTCCTGCCAGATGGACGGCTGGGAGCAGATTTCTGAGACCTGACAAATTAAAGACAACTATTCTACAGAACGCGAGACAGACCTCACACATCGTACGTCTAGGGCTGTTTATTGAACAAAGTTACCACGAAGACATAAAACATCTGGGACACAAACCAGCACACAGCATTAGCGTGTGTGTGTGTGTGTTTTGTACGCCCAGAGGAAGAACAAAGGCTGACACTGAGTGTGTGTGTGTGTCCCATTAAATAGTAAACAAGTGGGTTTGTGTCCTCGGCTGTGGGAAGGTGGTTCTGTCCATCAGATGGCTTTCTGATTGACAGAAGTCCTCGCCACCTCTTCGCTGGCGATCTTACCAAAGTAGTCAGACTTCCTTTGAGCGTCCATCTCTTTCTCCAGTTGCTGAGTGAGGGCCTCCAGCTTTATCTCAGCTGCTGATGGCCCCTGATCTGAAGGCTGTGAGAGCGGACCCTGAGTAGGTACTTGGGTGGGTTTAGGGGAGCGCCGGCTCTCACCTTCGTCCCTGATTAAATGTACATTGGCAACCATCTGGCTTTGATCCGGACTCTGACTTTTGGTGAGGCTGCCAGGACACAGAGCAGAGGACATCCCCTGGGCTTTTGGTTGAGGTGCTTCAGAGGCCGCAGAAGCTGCCACTGGGCCATTATGGTTGGATGGCGGAGGTACATAATGGGCCAAGGGCTGGGAAGGATGCTGGAAGTCTGCTCCGCCTGTGAAAGCGCTCAGAGGCAAGGCAGGGATCCTGTCTGGTTTTGTTGGGAAGGACGGCTCTCCAGCCCAAACTGTGCAGCCAAGTTTCTGGTTGAGGAGCTGTGGTGGAAGACTGGTGATGGTCGAAGGTGCATGCATCAGCTGAGCCGCACAGCTCCCTGACACCAACACAGATGGGGGAGATTTGCTTTCCTTGGAGGGGGCCCAGGTTGCGAGGTTCCGGATCTGTGCAGAACTTTGAGGAGAGTTTGCAAAACTAGGTGGGGAGACGTTATTCTGGTATGAATGGGACTCTAAGCGCTCCTTGTTATCGTAAGTGTTTCCGTGGCCGTGAGTCCTGCTGGCTGGAGGTTCAGACTGGAACCCAGTCTGGGCATACTGGTTCCCAGGCGAGGAGGTCGGCGCGGGGCCAGAGAGGATCGGGGGCTTCGCTGCCGCCTCGCCCGGCTGTCTGGAGCTGTTGATGGGCGGTCTGTCTTTGGTGTAATGGGTGCTGTTGTGACCCCCATTCATCCGAACGACCTGGCTGCTGTTGGCCACTTCCTCCTGCTGCTTCTGCATGTGTATTTTACTCATCTTAGAGGCGAAAACTCTCCTGGTTTCTTCAAAGTCCGGGTTATTCCCCGCATCCCGCCTCGTCCGGAACAATCCATCCCTGGATGCTTCATACATGTTCAAGTCCTCGATAAACTTACTCGCCTCGAGTCCCAGGTCCTCGTACTTATCCATCTTAGAACTAGTTTTGCGTTTCAAAGTTAAAAATAAATTAAATCAGTCCGCGAAAGACCAGAAGAATCACAAAAGAGTTCTGGCTGAAGAAAACAGTTCACGTAAAGTTTTCGTTGATGATCCCAACTTCTTCGTCTTCCGCGGTGAAGATTCAAAAACTTTACTGTTGCCGGTGGAGGTCAGCCGGTCCAGCTCAGCCGTGGTCCGGTCCGGATGTGAGAGCAGATCCCAGATCAGATCTCCCAAAGTAGCTCCCCCCTCCTCTCCTCTCCTCCTACTGTTAACGGTCCCAGCGGGAAAAGCTTCATCCGAAACTTCTTCACCCACGAAACAATAAAGAAACTCAAGCTGAACGCGGTTACTGTCGCGGAGTTTAACCATCGAGTTTAACGGACGAACTTGTTAGCTCGTCGGTGTTTAGGTCGGAGCCGGCGAGGCCACCGGGCGGCTTTGGGACCGAGAACAGAACCGGTGGTCTCTTTAAAGGCGCAGAGCTCGAATAATGCAGCACAACTAAAATAACCCAGAGCCTATGACTAACATGTTCCTTTTAAAAATACCTAACACCGGAACATGTTGGCTGGTTAACCCACCTCTTCTTTTACTCCGTGCGTGTGCGTGTGTGTGTGTGTGTTGTAAAATACAAATGCAGTCGCTTCCCAATTGTAAAAGGTATCCTGCTGTTCTTTTACTCCGGAAAAAACTTATCATGTCACAAACTTGTGGGCCAATAACTTCAGAATAAATGAGTCTTTATTTACAACTTCAGCCTAATAACATGAAGCTACAGGGGGTGAGGGTGGGGTGCACACTCAGGGGCGTAGCACCAAATTCTGGGCCCTAGGTACAAGTCTTCTAGGTGGGCCCCATGCTCAATTGTGTAATATCTCTCTTACACATTTTATGCCATGCTATAAGACAAGATAATAAATATGATCTCAGTTTAACCTCTATATTGAGCAAATACAAATGCCAGCATAATAAAAGTGAAATGCCCAGACTTCACATATAATTATTTTTATTTGCCAACAATGTGTTCAAACATTAATCCTGGAATTTATTTTCCAGTAAATGCCCACTGACGGGTCTTCATGTTAGCAAAATCCCTTATGAGATCTTTAAAGTCCAATCCTTTGGCTAATTGGCTTTCAATAGAAAGAAGAGCTAGGCTGTTCAGTCTATCCTGGGACATTGTTGATCTCAAATAATTTTTCACCAGTTTCAGTTTGCTAAAAGCCCGTTCACCCCCAGCAACAGTCACAGGTAGTGTGCAAAAAATCCTCAGTCCAATACAAACTTCTCCAAAAATGCTCTGTAATTGCATCCTGTAGATGGAATTAAGCAGCTCAAGAGGAGACATGGGATGCAGTACAGAGCCTTTGCACTTTCACTGTAAATAAGCCAGTCTCTTCTTATCTTCTCATGCCCATTGGCTGACTTAGCATATTGAAGATAATTTGGAAATGGCTTGCCCTCCATATCTTTGGGTGTTATTTTGTCGATTCCTGGTGTTTGATCACTTTTATTCGCCAGTCTTCTGACAACTGCATCTCCTTGTTGACCAGTGAGCTTCTCTGGCCATAGTCCTGGATCCTCTGGCAGACACTCATCTGTGTTGCTCAGCCTCTCACTTTCTTCTTCTTCTGGCCTCTCCTCATCATCCTCACTACCTTCAGAGCAACCATCCCCTTCCCTATCTTCACTTACATCATCCTCTTTCACATATTCTATCTCTTTCTCTGCTGCAAGGGGGACAGACACCACACAAGCAAAATGGATCATGAATTAGGTCAGCAAAATATAACCTAACATGTCCTTTCAGATAAATCTGTTGCTAATGATTGCTTGTAAATTGAATAACTTAATTGTATCGTGAGCTCAGGGGCGGATTTAGGACTGAAGAAGATCCGGGGCTTAACACACAAACACGCGCGCACACACACGTGACACGCACTAGTCAACATCATATATATTTGTCTTGTACCACATAATTTTTTAATCTAAAGCTACATATTAAGCATATTCAGGGCAGAATATTGTTCCTGTTAGTGTTTAGTGTGAGATGAAAGTAAATATTCACTTTCCAGCAACTTTACCTGAGAAGCTAACTTTAGGCAAACCAGCAACACAACAAATATTTTCAAATAAGACTCACAAACCTGAGTCAACACCAGTCTCATCAAAGCTGGGGTTCTGTCATTGTACTTTTTGTCTAAAAAAAAGTCCTTATGTCCATCTTCACTCATGCATTTCAGGCAGAGACTGCAGAAGAAGCCGGCTGCTGAAGGGCTTCTTCTTCAGTGGTGGAGGCTCAGGCAGGCTGTATACAAACTACTGCCAGCTGCTCCCTCTCTGTTGGACTTTGTTACTGCATGTTACTTCCACGTTTCAGATCCGGGGCTTTTCATAAAACATCCGGGGCTTCAGCCCAAGTAGCTGGGCCTAACGCCGCCCCTGAGTGAGCTCACCTTGTCTCATCTCCTCAGTGCTTTCTGGAGACAATGAGGGCCCTGCTGCTGCTGCTACTGCGTCTAAAGGGCCATGTGGTTCATGATGTTAAGCTTTGCTAATACTGATATATATTGATATATTAAATACATATGACATGAAATAAACCAGGTTCTCTCTGTGAATGTAATGTACTCTAAATTTTATAATCCCTGCATTATCAGCCAAATTATAAGGTTGTCCGTTTTCAAGATCAAATATAAAGAAATTTAAAATAGGCTTAAAATATCTAACCAAGTCAATAACAATCCTCTAACACCAGTGTCATCATGCTATACGAAAAACAGTGGCAGCTTCCCATTCCTGAGATTACCACGAATCCATCGATACCAAGTTTGTCCTGGTCCATGACTGGGAAGGAGCTGAAATATCCACACAGAGTGAACCTGTTTTTACTGTGAGGTCCGCAAATTAATTGGCGGCAGCCGCCCGCGATAATAATTCTGATTAATATATATATATATATATATTAATTAGTGTTATCACTGATAACACTAATTAATTTATATTTGATCTTGATGGTGAAACTAAAGGCGTTTAACACTTTCTTTCTTCTTTCTTTCGGTTTTTATTTTGGTTTATAGCATTAACATAAAATTTTTCTTTTCAAACAAAACAATATTAACAATTTGAATTTAAACCAAAGAAGGAATAGGCAGAAGCAATGCTTATTTTAGCCTACCCTATTTTCCACCTAATATACATAACCAATATACATTTCTTTTATTTTCCCCAATATAAATATCCACAATGAAAATTCATTAATGTCTATACATACTTTTCGTACCCTGTAAATATGTGACACTTTACACCTGCTTTAAACTTTAGTAAAGAAGTACATTTCTTCAAATCATCATCTAACTCATTCCACAATTTCACACCAACAACAGAAACACATCTTAATTTCACATTAGTTCTGGCTTTTACACATTCAAACATAAATACACCTCTGAGATTATAATGATCATCTCTTGGTTTGAAATAAACTTTTATGCAATTTGGGATATTATTATTAACTACTTTATGAAGACTCTCTAAGATTTTTACTTTAATAATGTCTCCTAATTTTAGCGTTTTCGTTTGACTAAATAGATAATGGGTTGGTTCGAGGTATCCCAATTTATTAACTATTTTAATCGCCTTTTTTTGTAATTTAAATACTGTCTCAACACACGTTTTACCTGCATTTCCCCAAACCTCTGCACAGTAAGACAAATAAGGCATAACTAAAGAGCTATAAATCAAAAACAAGGCTTTTTTATTTAGTATATCAATAGTTTTATAAAGTATAGCAATAGATTTAGACACTTGCTGTTTGATATATTCAATGTGTGGTTTCCAACTGAGTTTACTATCAATAATCACACCTAGGAATTTAGTTTCATATACTTGTTCAATTGGGACTCCATTTAAATACAGCTTAGCACCGTCATTGTCCCTGTTCCCTGAAAATATCATAAATTTGGTTTTATTTTCATTTAGTGATAGCTTGTTGTAATCAAACCATTTTTAATTGAATCCAATTCGTTTTCAACCTCTTGTAATAATTTACTCATATCTTTTCCCATACAAATGAAATTTGTATCATCTGCAAACATAATAAATTTTAACCGAGACGATACAGAAAAGATGTCGTTCAGGTATAGGTTGAATAATTTCGGTCCTAGCACCGAGCCTTGCGGTACACCACATATTACTCTTTCAAGCTGTGAATCTATATCATTAACATTTACATATTGAAATCTACTGCTTAAATAACTTTCAAGCCATTGATTGGTTTTACCACGAAGACCATAGTATTCACATTTCTTGAGCAGGTATATGTGATCAATTGTATCAAATGCCTTACTCAAGTCAATCAAGACAGCCACTACATGAAGTTTTTGATCCACTGCTGTTGCAATCTGCTCTACCAAATCCATAACTGCTAATGAGGTTGAACGATTCTTCCTAAACCCATACTGATGGTCATTTAAAAGATCAAACTTGTTGGTAAATGCTTCAAATCTAATTACAAAAAGTTTCTCAAGTATATTTGAAAACTGTGGCAGTAAAGAGATAGGTCTATAGTTACAAGCTAATAATTTATCACCACTTTAATAAATAGGAATAACTCTGGCTATTTTCATTTTTTCAGGGACTGTGCCACTTGAAAATGATTTATTACAAATATAAGTAAAAGGTTCAATAATGCAATGGATAACCTCCTTGATGAGAGACATATCTATCCCATGAAAATCTAAGGACTTTTTACTTTTGAAACTATGTACCGCTTGGATCACATCACTTTGGCTTACACTGCTCAAAAACATTGTATTATTATTATTTTTATTTATTTCATGGTTAATGTCAACTTCTGGCAGCTTTTTAGCTAGATTAGGGCCAACATTCACAAAATATTTATTAAACTCATTTGCAATGTTCTTTCCATTTTTATTGTGAATATCTATACCTGCTTCTTTTGTATTTCTTATTAATTTATTTAACACATTCCATGTACCTTTAATATTATTTTTGTGTTTTAGGAAAAGCTGATCATAATATTCCTTTTTTTGCTTCCTTATTATTGTAGTTAATTTGTTTTTATATTCCTTATACCTTTTTTCTTTTTCCTTTGTTGGATTTTTTATAAAATCCAGATACAGTGATTTCTTTTTCTGGCAAGCCCTTTCCAATCCCCTAACAATCCAGGGTGGGGACCTTTTTTTTTAAGTTTTGCTTATGATATTTTAGAGGACAATGTCTATCATAAGCTCCCAAAATGAACACTGAACACCTAACATGAATGCAGCTTCTGAGAGCTAGCTAATATCAGCTAAAACTGTGTTCTGCTGCTCACCTTCCTTCTTGAAGAATCTAGTCAATACTTGCTTCTGTTCGATTAACTTTTTCTCCTTCTCCTTCTTTTCTTTTCTGGAAGCCAGATTTCCCTTTCTTGGGAAAAGACATGACTGACTCTCCTGCCTCCAGCTCTGGCTGTCGGCATCTGCGATGTCTCACTAGCACATGCGGCAGTGCAGCCCCTGGCCGCTGGTGTGGACTAAACCACTTTACACATTTTTAAGGGGTGATAGATGCCTCAGAGATTATTCAGTTATTATTTTTAAGGCGAAATTCTGTTTCTTAACCTCTTTATCCAGGTAAAGGGAAGTTTATTAAGACATTAAGTAAGTTGGGGGGAAAAAACAACAACAATAAAACATTTTTATTCAAAGCTGTCTCAGGGCCCCTCCCTGCAGTGGGCCCTGGGTAAACGGTACCCTTTCCCCCCCCAGTCCGACGCCCCTGTGCACACTACCCCACCTCAGTGGGGCCTTGCCCCCCACCTGACCCCCTAGTTTGTGTCCTTAAATTGGAAGTCAAGGCAGTGGTGGAGATTAACTTCATCCACACTTCCTGCTAGGAAAACACTTCTGAAAGAGGCCTCGCCTGGCGGACCGAAAGAGCGGCACTGAGGCCATGATAGACGTCAGCCCCCCCCCCCCCCCCCCCCCCATCCCACCCCCATTAGACATCATCTGTACAGGTTATTAGCAAAAAATATGTTGATTTAGGTGTTACATACACTTTAAAGTGGGGAAACATTATTTCAATACATTTTCTGTGGTCTCTAGTATCACTGAATGCCTTGTAGGTTGTTTTCTTTGATTTAAAAAAAGGCTCTGGTGTTCCTGTGTGAGGAAGTAGAAATTAGTCAGTGTGGACAGCAGGATTTTGAGTCTCAGGCCTAATCCCAATACTCGCACTATACCCTACGGTCTTCTGTGAAGTGCACTTGGAGGAAGTGCGCAGTAAGGCTTCGAGTGCATAGTACACAAGTGTGCAAATAATTGCTCAACTGGGTCAGGGAGCATTGCATCATTGGCCGCAATGCATGCTGGGATGCTGGTCACTGTGCTACTTAAAAACTACTTTAACAACTTTCTAACAAAAACAGACACAATGTAAATTCATTGCTGTGAACATTAAACCTTTGTCTAAAACATTCAGAGCATCAACAAACATTCATTGTTCTAAAATAAACTACTTTCATTTGAAAATGCATATTTTCAGAAGAGACGCTTGAGCCATTGTTCCACTTTCTTCTCAAACTTCCCACGCAGCAATGGATTGTGGGAAATACCCTTCGCCCATGTCTGCGTTGATGCAGACTTGGGCAAAGTGCAGATCAAGGGTGCAAAAGGTGCGTCGTCAGCTTCTGCACGTGAGAATCGGGACACCCTACACACTTGCATCCCTGGATGGGATAGTTCAGTTGAAGGTTGCAAGGGTGGAAGTGTGACTGTTTGGATTTGGCTTACTAAATAAACCTACACTGTGTAGTTTGCAGAAGGTGCTGCAGAGAATGCACCATGTGGTGGTTAGAGGAATTGCAGTCAGCAAAGTGTGCACTCCTGTGATGTTCAAACCTACTTACTATTTAACAAATTATTTATCTATTTATTTAAAGGAAAATTTGGTGGGAAATCATGAAAAGTTATTCCAAGGACAGCTAGTCAAAATCAGATTGCCCTCCAAGGTTTTCCCACACCCTGCCCTGATTCTCAAAAAAGGTCCAGTCCTGGAACTTAGTGCCAGGCCTGATGTGCAGCAGTGCAGGCTGCCTGCGTTGCGTGACTCTGGGAACCAGGTGGACATGCTGCCTCAGAGATCCAGGTGGGAATTATTAACGTTTTGGGCTGCTTCTGAGTGCCCAAAGCTGGCCTGAACCATGAGGAGGAGCAGCTATGGTTGCAGAGAACAAGGTGGTAATTAGTTGCCTGGAGGTCCGCTCCTGGGTGTTGTTTTCAACAGAACCGGGAGGAGAGGACAACTGGGTCAGAAGAAGAAAACCAGGCATGAATTGCTGACAGGATTCATCTGTACATTTCCAGCTGCTACTTTAGCTTATCAAGCGGCTAACTGAAGGAGAACAGCCTTCTCGTGGTCATGCATACAGCAAGTGCTCTCAAAAGTGCAGCCTGAGGTGGTGCTGGACCAAACTACTTTTAAAATGTTAGCTCTACATGCAGTCATGGCACAAGAACAAGATACAATCATATGGTCAGGAGATGGTAAAAAAAAAACTGTACAATATGCAGCCTCCGACTGGCTAACAGTAACGTGACTCTTCTGCTGCCTGTTTGCTCTTCTGTCTTGGGTTAAAAAAAAATGCAACGCTGATGTTTTACAAATAAACAAAAGCCTGAATGTGTTCTGCCATGTTGTGGAGTTACGAATGCTAACGGTTAGCTTCTACTAGCCAAGACTTATTCTGCTGCTCCCCGGTCGCCAAATCAACACAGCCTTCTGCAGGCCGAAGCCAAGATGGAGCAAGTCCATGAATGCAAATTTAACAGCTGTGTGGCTTTTTCTGACCCGAGCGTTTCCCCTTCGAGTCATTTAAAATCATGTAATGGTCTTTTGTGGTGGGCCAAATCATCAGCCTTGGGGTGTGCCTCCAGCTTTCACAGCTCAGATCAGGAATTAGACTGGTGCAGTAGAGGGTGGCGCTGCTCCGTGCCCCACCCTTATTTTTCAACCTGCAGGAGTTTCTCAACAGAAAGTCTTTTTTTTTTCACTCATCAAAGACAACTTGTGCTACACATTTCTCGTGTAAGACGTGAGGCTGTGATGAACGTGTCCTGGACAAAATGAGTCACAGTTGACTGTTCAAAGTTGCCATGGAAACTGCACCGCTGACAAAAAGTGCTAAATGGAAGCAGAGGCTGACGATGACAAAATGCTTTGTTAAAGGGAATGTATCACCATAGCTGTGACCTAATTTCAACAGAAACTGGATTTAGAAAAACAGTAATCTGTTCATTCAGATGAAACTGCTGCCTTTAATGAGGTAGCTAATTAAAAACGTATACAATTATCAGAATAACGCAAAAGATCAGAGGTTTGAAACTAATGTTGCTGGAGAAAAAAGGAGCAGAAAAGAAAGGCGATGGCAGAAAAACACCTCGGTGTCCTTGTCTTCTGGCGTTTTGTGCTGTGACAGCATTCGTTTGAGTTAAAATAGTTCTGGCTCTGCTCCTCATTCCTGGCTTCTCTTCCTGTTATTCTGCCGCTCCTGAAAGCATTTTCCGGTCACCTGATGGTCAGCAATAAATCACAGAAATATGGAAAAAAGGTTAGAGCGGGGATGATCTGTAAGGACAATCTGTTTTCTTTGTGTCTGCATGTTCTATCCAACAGATGTGACTAAAAACAAAACCAGCCTGTCACACCAGATAATGTTTCTTTACATCGTGTTTTTAACTTTGAAATCTGTGCGTGTGTTTTTGTCTTACACTGACCATTGATGATAACCCAATAAAAACCTTGGATTTTTCTAAGCTGTGGGCACCTCGGAGGGACTAATCCGTGCAGATATCAGGTGACCGCTCACTCTCCCAGGCTTTAAAGATAGGCTGGTGGGAGGGCACACGGATACATTTCAGTGCCTCTAGGTTGAAGCGGGCTCTGCCAGGACAGCGCCGACGGCCAAATCGCGTCGACCCGGCGCTGAGACACAGAGCTGATGAGGCACAAGATGAGGTAAATTTTTTTTAACATTTTTCAACCACAATAGGATCCTGAGTTACCTCCACCTGACCCTTCCCGACAACAGTCCGTGTACGGTGAATAAACACACATCATAAACAAACACAGATAGCAGATCTGCATAACTGGGCTAACTCACAGAGCACAGGTCACAGGAGGGGAGGGATGTGTGAAGTTGCAGCCATATCTCCAGTTCAGGAGGGATGAGGGAATGTGAACGATGTCTGGAATCTCAAGTGGTGATCACGCTCGTGATCGACTGTCAAGAGTTTCTGATTAACTCAGTACTGACCTGAACTTCCCGAGTCTGACCTGGCAACAGAAACTAGAGACACACTGCTTGTTTGTTTGTTTTTTAATGAAAAATGTAAATAACAAGCCTTAAGATATATTTACAGTGAAGTTATGACTTTAAAAGGTCTACATCATTTGTTTTTGTGCCAAGTGTGCGTTTAAAAGGCAACAGCTGTAAAATAGTTACAGAAGAAATGTCACTCATCAACCAGGAAGTTGACCAGCGGGGCCCTGGGGGAGATGATGACTCGCTTGATGCAGCGCTCACGCAAAAGCTTCTCTCCTACAGGGCTCTGCATCACCAGCTGCTGGACCTGACTGGGATCTTTGGACACCTGCAGGGGAACCTCCACCTTTCCACAGGCCTTGTTGTTTATCTGAGAACAGGAAACAGAGAGTGAGACTGGGAGGTTTTTCACAGTCAGTCAGTGGTTCCCAACCTTGTTTTCAGGAGGACCCCCTTCCTGTGTCCAAGCCAGGGCCCCCCAACACAACACAAAGACACAATTAACTCATTCACTGCCAATGACGACTAAAGTCGTCATTTGCATTTTTTTACTGTTTGAGCATCGGAACGAGCCCCCGCGCTGAGAGAACATCTCAACCCTGAAGCCGATCTTCATCCGCATACGTCACACGTCACATGATCAAGAAGCAACACATCCACGTGTTTGGGGATCGTTTTGGGCCGTTCCTGTAAAAAAAGTGAGGCGCGAACCGGAAAAGCGTCTGCCGATCACAATTCGACAACGGATTATGAAAGAACGGGTAACGCTCTAAACACACGGACTCTTCCTGATGTAAGAGGTGAGTCTCCTTTTTGTTTTGGTTGTTTTGGCATCGACATCATGCTAGCGCGCAACGTTCTGTGACTCTTAAAAAAACAGTAAAAATGGTGAGAAACGCTGGCAGCGAAGGCCGTTAGTGATCAGGAAACGGCTGGCAGTGAATGAGTTAAAGGTGAATAATTACAAACTTCACGCAGACATGCAGAATTATGTTTCCTACAGAGCTTTGATTGTACCATTGGGTGTGTTATCTGAATTTTATAAATGTCATTTTTACACACATAATCTGGTAACCTCACAACATCAGCGCTGACAAAATTATGGTGGGGGGTCACGGACCCCAGATTGGGAACCACTGTAGTGGAATCACGGAGATCTCTTCCGTCAGCAAGGAGGCAGCGAAAACCGCTGCCACCTAGCAGTTGGAGTTTGAATTACACCACACAAGAGACATGCTGTAAATGTTTGCATGTTAATTCTCAATACAAAATCTATACACCGCTTTGGAATATTGATTCAGTATCATGACAAGAAATGTTGCAATATTTCAGTGCATCGATATTTTCTTACATCTCAACTGTGCAGGTTTCCTTTTAAATGATCTGACAAAGGTGCTGCCACATGAAGTTGTACCTCAACGTTCTCTCACCAAAACGAGTCCCAAAATAACGGCCACATGCACAGTGCACTCTTTTAAACACATAGTTAGTGGTAGGTACGGGAAGGGCACTCCGCCTTGTGTGTTTAGACGCAAGTGTATGCATGCACATGGTCGATGTGATCACGTCTCTGGATGTGGTTGCAAATTAATGGTGTGTGTGTGTGTGTGTGTGTGTGTGTGTGTGTGTGTGTGTGTGTGTGTGTGTGTGTGTGTGTGTGTGTGTGTGTTGCCACTCAGCTCAACCTTGGCCTCCCTCCCATTTCTGGGACAAACCCAAAACCGTGATTAAGGAAAAAAAAAAAAAAAGAGGCCATGAGGGAACCCACAACAGACGGCTCGGTCCAAAGGAAAACCAACCTCATTCAGGAGCACTTGGAGCTCAGAGATGTGAACTCTCCATTTATACTTGAGGGCCAGGTCGATTCATAGAGGACGCCGTCGACGAGGAGGACGTTTTAGAAATCCTCACTTTCTTGGTTCAAGGGACATGATGGGTTTACTTTAACATCAAGTGTTGTGGTTGTGGTAAGGGATTGAACCGTATCAAATGTCCAGTGTGTGCATGATTTTTTTTAAAACTGCATCAGAACTGATTTTCACGGTTCGTGGCGGGGGATGGGGTGCAGACATGAAAACTGACGGTTAACCCGCACTTCCTCAGAAAGCTGAGGAGGAACAACGTGGAGAGGAAGCAGCTGGTGGTGCTGCCACATTGCTAAATGTCGACGTGGTTCACTGCAGGTAAAAAGGTTCTGCAGGGATAACAAAAAGGCCATTTTGAATTTTTCGTATTCATTTTATTTGTAAAGCCCCTTCCCACCCCCAATCCAGGGGGCCCAAGGTGCTGAACGTAGTGCAGAGAAGCAGCACAATATAACAACTCTATAATAAAACACAGAGATAAAACAATTTAAAAACAAAAAAAGAGCCAAAAACAATAAAAATTGTGATCAAAAACATTAAAATGTGAATAGAAACAACTAAGAAACAGATCTAAAATGCAGCTTAAGCCTCGCTTTTAAAGCGGGCAGCGATGTGGACGGCTTGATTTCTTGTGGGAGTTGGTTCCAAAGCCGAGGACCCAGAACTGCAAAGGCACGATCACCCCTAGACTCACGCTTTGATCGCGGTACCACCAAACTGTATAATGAATTACTATGTCACCCATTTTGCACAGACTCCTGAGCAGCTGCTACCGAGCTGTGAGCTAACAGCTAGTCCAAACTCAGACAAGACAACAGAGAACTGCTGCCTTCACAAAACCACCCTGATCACGTAAGGCGTATTTTTGAGCGCTGCACCCCTGCAGACTTTATGCTCAGACATAACCACGCATTTAAAACTAGATGAGCATGAAATGCAAAAGCGACTGAAGTGTGAAGGTTTCTAAAATGACGTTTGCGTGGAGCAGCATGAAATTTTGGAGTAGATATATTTGCAAAATGTTAGGTTTTTGCACCCCCACACAAACTGACATGCAAATAAAAATGTGTGCATTTATGGATCTACTTGTAATTGTAAAATTGACAGTTTTAATTAAAACTGATTTTACGCTGGATATTCATTTTGAAAATCAACAGCAGAAACACAAACAACTTCAAAATACGTTAATGATTCACGATTTATTCCCTGCAAACACAATCTAATCCTAAACCTAACCTCAGTGTAAAACTAAACTTATCCCAACGTGTTTAGGCTGAAAGATTTACTGCCCAAGAACATCATGCATTTTAACCCCATTATACGACACACACACCCACAATGTGTGTGTGTGTGCAAACAGATCATGTCCCCACAATGTCTGCTCAACTTGATGTGACAACATCTTCTGTCAAACCGAGAGCTTTGAATGTTTTTGAGCTCACAGAAAAAACAAAACTACAGGAGTGAAAGAGTCATAATGACTCACATATAACACGGTCTCCATGTCACTGAGATTATTACTGCTTAAAGCTCTTCCAGGCTTGATGTGCTCACACGAAAGGTGTTGGGAAACGTCTGTGATCCTACCAGCACTGACAGCTCCACGACGTCAGGGACCTCCAGAAACTGGGGATCCACAATTGGCCAGGGCTGCTGAAGGACCTCTCCGCCCCGCAGGAGGAGGGGGCTGAGTGCGTTTGTCACTTGACGCAGACCTGAGGGAGACCAATGAGCAAAATCACCTGTCATACCGAGACACTGACACAGCTTGTGAACGTTTCACCCAAATGTGATTTGGAGCCAGAGTGATGGCTGCAGCTCCAGGAACGAGAGGTTAAACAGCCTCTACCCTCTGTTTTGACTCCCAGTTGCACCAGCGAGTGTACATCCTTCTGGAAGCTGAAGGGAAGGGTGTGGGCTTCCTCTCCCCTGAGCAGTGTGTGTAAAATTACGGCAGGCCAACAAAAGCAAAAAGCCCGACGCGAGCAGCGTAGGTCACGTGTGTCGGTCCTGTTCTAGGAGCTACAAGCGTGAGCACAAACAAAACTTCCCCTCATCTGTCAGGGCCTCCTGACTCTGGATGTCAGCTGGATGGCGTGCTTTCCCCAAACCTCAGAACTTCCTCTCACAAATGACACAAACGGGGAAAGTGGAGCACGGCGAGTGAATAAAAAAGGCATGCTGTCAGGCACCTGTACGCTGCATGTGAGCGCTGCTCATTAGGAAGGTTTAAATGTTACAAACCTGACCACAGTTCAGAGGCTAAGTGAGGAGCCATGGGTGCCACCATCATCACTAGAGCAGCTAGAGCTTCCTCAAAGTCCAAGCTGTGCTGCACCACTCTGACCGTTGCACTCTGCACACACAAAATGGTAAAAGCTCATGTCAGAAGCAATAATCTGGACGTTTTATTCAATGATGAGAAGTCACGCTTACACTCAGTGTGTTGGTGAGTCCCATCAGGCGAGAGATGGCTGCGTTGAAAAGAAAGTCTTCAGTGAAATGAGTCGTTACCTGAAAAAATCAACACAACACTTTCAGCTGCAAACAAAAACAAGCCGATAATAACTTTGGTGTTTTGATCATGTGCGGCAGCACACAGACTAGCGGTCAGCATTCCCATGCTTTGGGTTCTGGGAAGAGGAACTCCTTTGGGAAGGAGGAGGTTGATCAATGAGGTGTTTCAGTGGGACACATCAAAGGACATCTTGGGCTTTAAGGCCTTACAGCAAACAGCCCGCGGTCCTTTAAACGCTCTGGTTCCAACGGGGGAGGGGAGACAATCTGACCTGGCAACCCAAGGAGGCTATTTATAAAGTGTGAAAGGAGATGGGGTGGATTTTCAATCAATTTCCATCTTCCTCTCCTGTTTCTCTGTACTCTGGGTTGTTTTGGTGGCGGCGGACGCTTCGACACATTGACGATGTTCCATCCAAATGCGTTTGCTCTCGTAGTGTACACTGTAACAAGCTGCCCTAAAAAAGTCACAAAACTGAGGAAAACTCATTTAAAGTGAAAAATTACAATATTTTAACAGATGAAGAACACAAAAATACATCACAGAAAAGAAACAAACTTTCTGTAAAAACCTGGGATTAACAGACCCCTGCTGGAAAGAAATCCTGTAAAGTCACTTTGGGGCACAAGAGAATCTCTCTCAAGAGATCAAAGCAAGTCAGCCGCATCTAAAGGGCACCCACCTCTTGGATCGCATAGTTCTTGTTTTGCCAAATCCTTCTGGCCTCTTCCAGCTCGTTCTTTTTCAGCAGGGCTGGGTTGGGGACATCGCCAAGCCGCCGTGCTTCTCTCAGCCTGGTCACCAGCTGCCACAGTCGAGACTGCCACCGCAGAACACCAGGAAGAGCATCCGCTGGGGAATAACAGAAATTCAGACATAATATGGCAAGTGTCGGATTTCTAGCTATGTTTTCAAATGGCCTGTATTTGATGTAGCGCCTTCTAGAGTCATGGAACCCCCCAAGGCGCTTTACAACACAATCAGTCATTCACCCATTCACACACTGGTGGGGATGAGCTACGATGTAGCCACAGCTGCCCTGGGGCGCGCTGACAGAGGCGAGGCTGCCGAGCACAGGCGCCACCGGTCCCTCCGACCACCACCAGCAGGCAACGTGGGTTAAGTGTCTTGCCCAAGGACACAACGACAGTGACAGACTGAGCGGGACTCGAACCTGCAACCTTCCGATTACGGGGAGAGCACTTAACTCCTGTGCCACCGTCGCCCCAAATATACAAGGGATGTTCCAACCCTATGTGAAATTTAGTCCGTAGCCATTTTCCCAAGTTAGATAAGTGGGAAAGCATTTCGATACCAGCCCAGTCATTGTCCTAACCTCACAGTATTTGCTTTAGCTTAGCATAAACAATGAAAGTGAATGGTAACAGATAGCATTTCGTATGAAAAAGTCATGAAGATTACTCGATAATGATCCAGATTTTTCTTGGAGACCTCAATAATCATTTTGACTGAATCATAAGTAAGATGAAGGAATTACAGGAGACAAGTTTGACTTGGGACTGCATGACGACAAAGCACCGCTGTGAGACGCTGCTGCAAGGCACAAGAACAGGACACAGCGGCCCAAAAACCCACTGCCTACTGTCGTCAGGGTGAAATGTTGCAAATGTATTACAGTAGACACGGAAGTGACGATGTCTGCCAGACGTGACGCCACAGCGTCGTGTCCTTGTGCCTTTCAGAGGAGGTTTACAGCAGTGCTAGTTGTTACCATTCACTTACACTGTTTACAGGTGCTGGCCAGTAAATTAGAATATCATCAAAAGGTTGAAAATATTTCAGTAATTCCATTCAAAACGTGAAACTTGTACATTATATTCATGCAATGCACACAGACCAATGTATTTCCAATGTTCATTACATTTAAATTTGATATTCATAAGTGACAACTAATGAAAACTCCAAATTTGGTATCTCAAAAAATTAGAATATTCTGAAAAGGCTGAATATAGAAGACACCTGCTGCCACTCTAATCAGCTGATTTACTCAAAACACCTGCAAAGGCCTTTAAAAGGTCCCTCAGTCTTGTTTTGAAGGCACCACAATCATGGGGAAGACTTCTGACTTAACAGCTGTCCAAAAGACAATCATTGACACCTTGCACAAGGAGGGCAAGACACAAAAGGTGATTGCTAAAGAAGCTGGCTGTTCGCAGAGCTCTGTGTCCAAGCACATTAACAGACAGGCGAAGGGACGGAAAAAATGTGGTAGAAAAAAGTGTACAAGCTCTAGGGATAACCGCACCCTGCAGAGAATTGTGACGACAAACCCATTCAAAAATGTGGGGGAGATCCACAAAGAGTGGACTGCAGCTGGAGTCAGCGCTTCAAGAACCACCACGAGGAGACTCATGAAAGACATGGGATTCAGGTGTCGCATTCCGTGTGTCAAGCCACTCTTGAACAAGAAACAGCGCAAGAAGCGTCTCGCCTGGGCCAAGGACAAAAAGGACTGGACTGATGCTGAGTGGTCCAAAGTTATGTTTTCTGATGAAAGCAAGTTCTGCATTTCCTTTGGAAATCAAGGACCCAGAGTCTGGAGGAAGAGCGGAGAAGCACAGAATCCACGTTGCATGAGGTCCAGTGTAAAGTATCCACCGTCAGTGATGGTGTGGGGTGCCATGTCATCTGCCGGTGTTGGCCCACTCTGTTTCCTGAGGTCCAGGGTCAATGCAGCCGTCTACCAGGAAGTTTTAGAGCACTTCATGCTTCCTGCTGCTGACCAACTTTATGGGGATGCAGACTTCACCTTTCAACAGGACTTGGCACCTGCACACAGTGCCAAAACCACCAGCACCTGGTTCAAGGACCATGGTATCCCTGTCCTTGATTGGCCAGCAAACTCGCCTGACCTTAACCCCATAGAAAATCTATGGGGTATTGTGAAGCGGAGGATGCAATACGCTAGACCCAACAATGCAGAGGAGCTGAAGACGACTATCAGAGCAACCTGGGCTCTCATAACACCTGAGCAGTGCCACAGACTGATCGAGTCCATGCCACGCCGCATTACTGCAGTTATTGAGGCAAAAGGAGCCCCGACTAAGTATTGAGTGCTATACATGCACATTCTTTTCATGTTCATTCTTTTCAGTTGGCCAACATTAGAGAAACAAACATTTTTTCATTGGCCTTTAGAATATTCTAATTTTCTGAGATACCAGATTTGATGTTTTCATTGGTTGTCACCTATAAATATCAAAATTAAACGTAATAAACATCGGAAATACATTGGTCTGTGTGCATTGCATGAATATAATGTACAAGTTTCACGTTTTGAATGGAATTACTGAAATATTTTCAACCTTTTGATGATATTCTAATTTACTGGCCAGCACCTGTATGCTAAGCTAAAGCTACTCCACATCGAGAGGAGCCAGTTGAGTTGGCTCAAGCATCTGGTCAGGATGCCTCCTGGACGCCTCCCTGGTGAGGTTTTCCAGGCAAGTCCACCCGGGAGGAGGTCTAAAGGTAGACCCAGGACACGGTGGAGGGACTATGTCTCTCACCTGGCCAGGGAACGCCTTGGGATTCCCCTGGAAGAGCTGGCCCAAGTGACTGGGGAGAGGGAAGTCTGGGCCTCTCGATTTGGGCTGCTGCCCCCGCGACCCGACTCCGGATAAGCGGAAGAAGATGGACGGATAAAGCTAACGGAATACTGCCAGATTAGGAGAACGACTGGGCTGGTTACAAAATGTTTTTTCCCACTTATTTAACTCTGGGGAATATGGCAACAGACTAAATTTCACGTTGAGGTGGAGAATCACTTTAAGGATTCCTTCTGTGGCATTTATTTAAAGACAACAATATTTTTAGCATCGTCTTAGTCTGTCGTAGGCTTTAGGCTCACTCTTGACATTCCAGAGGATGTCCTGTTCGGGAGGCGCAGCATACAGGATGTAGAGTCGGACCGTGTCCACGCCGTACTGCTGCACCACCTCCTGAGGGTCCAGACCGTTGTGTTTGGACTTGCTCATCTTCTCCCACGTCACCTCTATAGGGCCACCGCTCAGCGCCACCGGCTCCTCACCTGGGAGGAACAAACACGTTTGGGTCTTTGATGGTCAGGTAAAGATTTTAGGGGTAGAATCATTTTTAGTTGGATCTTCTGAATAATTCTGTGTAATTTCATTTTTGTTTGGACCATTAAAAAACATTTTTAAAGTCAGAAAAAAACAACTCGTCTCCTTTTCATTAACTTTTTCTTCTGAAAAGAGGATTGGATCTTAGTGTCTCACAAACGATCCCAACTGTCCTCAGCCATCTGTTAAAATGTGTCACATTAACAAAAACATTGCAGGTCGAGTCAGTGCATACCTGTGAAGTCTACCTCCTCTCTCCTGATGTACTGGCCACTGTCTGCTAGTTTAAACGTCTGACCTTTTATCAGACCCTGGACCAGCAGTTTCCAAAATGGTTCCCTAAAAGAGAAATGCTCTGTAACGTGCACAAACCAAATCTGTAAATATAGTCCAAGAGTAGAATGATCTACCTGTGCGCAACAAGGCCTTGGTCCCTGCAGAAATGACTGAGGAAGCGCGCGTAATACAGGTGCATGACAGCGTGCTCCTTCCCACCGATGTAAACGTCCACGGGCAGCCAGTGATCAGCCAGGCGTCGCTCAAAGGGCCTGCAGAGAAAACGCGCTTTCATAAAACATAAGATTACATTTTATTTACAGTAAACTTGAGTAAAAGACAGAAAAGTCTTTTAGAGGAATATTTTATTTAATGAAAAAGTTTTATACAATACATGTTTGTGTGACAACTAAATATGAAAGACAACATATTAATCCAGTTATGTGCAAAAAGAAGGATCTTAAAAAGGCTATAACTTTACTTCAAACAACAATCACTTTACAAAAAAGATGTTCTCACCGATGACGGTGCTCAGAGGAAATGCAAAAACAAAAAACAACACAAGAGCTCGTTTTTAAACTACATGCCTCCGCTCGCAGGTTCCAACGTAGCGTTTATAGTGTAGCGTGGTTAATCTGCGTACTAGGATTTAACACTGTTTGCTTCAGTTTGGTTAGATCCTGAGAAAAGATCGGACATTAGCATATGAACTTATATTATGCACCAATATCCAGGATATTAATGCAATCGACAGAAGTTCATACACTAACTGTCTTGGTCTATATTTTAATCCAAAGATTGATGTTTAATTTAAGATAATTACATTTAATGGCAAAAGTTTTTTTATTGAATCAGAAGTTTAAAGGAATCTTTGCTTATTCAATAACCAAAATATACACCATTCTGTGTTTCATTTCAAAGAAGAGTCGGGTTCTTAAAAAGTTAAGAATTTATTACTAACATTTTTAAAAATGACAATTTGTAACAGGTTGATATTAAAACTTGTTATTCAACCAAACCTGTGTCTGGATGGAAAACTAAGGTGGAATGCGAGGTTTGGATGCGTGAATGAATCTCAGAAGGTTTCTTTCAGAGAGAGAGAAGCGTTCTGGGTGAAAACGTTGTTTTGCAGCTAACTGATGTTTCTTAGACAGAACAGCATCAGACGCCTTCTGTCGGACAATATCTACCTCACCCAGTTCAGGAGACCCTCCTTGGATCCGAGATGTCAGGTGGAGAATTTCTTCCTCCGGGCACGAGGTTGGTAGAGGGACCTCGGTGCGTCTCAAATCGGTCCTGAGATGTCTCCGTGGGTCACACGACTGATGAAACTATTTGCGTCTCAAAATCAATAACTCTGAAGGAGTTTTGCGTCAGCTGGAAACAGGTGCGTCTGTTCGAAGCTATTCTATCGGCGTGACAGAATGCTTAGTAGAGGCTTGGGCGGCCGTCCCTCCTCCCCGGTATGGTTCAAGAACTCATGTTCAGCTGCGGAGATCTGGTTTGAACAAAACCTCAGAACACGCCCTCTCAGCGTCAGAAAGTTTGTTGTTATGGAGTAAAGACATGTGAGGTGGTTAAACTTTACCCTGGATTCACCCTCTGCATGAGGTGGTTAACGTGCAAATGACCTTCTGGTCTACTGAACACACATTACTGATTATCATAAATAATAATAATTATTATTATTACCCAAAGCATAATAAGTCATTCCAGTTAGTTATTGACAGCTAAAAAGAAGAATTACAGTTTTTTTTAAATAAATTCTAGAAAATAACAACGCCTTGTGAGTTACAGTTGATTAATTATGTCTATGCAAACGAGTTGAAAGCACGGTGGTGGAGAGGTGATGATTTGACCTTGCACTCAAAGAATCAACAACAAACTTCCACTTCATGCAAAAATATAAATCCAACAACAGACCCATAAATCAAGACATTCAACAGTAAATCCTCAGATTAACAATAAATTGTTAAAAAGCTGAAAGAATCTGTGGTCCGTTTAGGTGCGGATCAGAACCTGACTGATGTGCTGAAGTAAACAGGTGCCTACAAAAATCTTTGAGCTGAATGTGTTAAAAATATGGGTAAACATCGTGGGCGATATCGTCCTCTGCTGCCCGATAAACGCGCCACCAACATCGGCGTTTGCTCTGACGAAGGCGGCAGAGGACGCCGAAACACGTCGGCAAAGGTAAAAACAAACTCGTTTTGCTTTGTGTAGACTGAAGAATCCCAAATAAGGAATTGGGTAAAGCTGTTTCCACAGAAACATGATGGCTGATATATGAAGCTGTAGCGTCACAAGTCCACAGCCGGGTCATTTTGCCCTGGCTACGACTCTAACCTACAATATTTTCCCTCACAGGAGACTGAAAGCCTGACGCCCTGAAAGAGATAATAAAATCAAACAAAAACATTTTCTCCTACCAAGGTCCCTTTACAGAGAAATTCATTAAATGAACTCCTTGATTCACAGAAGAAAGATTTTAAAATTAAAGATAATCATTAAATAAGTTTGTTTATTGCCACTTATAATAATTATAAAACAATGAAATGTTTCATTAATCTGTGCTTAATGATATATGTTAGCATGGTTACTTGACGAGGTCATCACCATTTGCACTCACACAAAAACAACGTAAAGTTAAGTGAACGCTTGACACATAGTTAAACTTTTGCCCAGTTCAGAGACTCCGGATCAAAGAGGGTGTGTCTCTGAGATTCTTGGTAACATTCCTCAAACTTGTCAACTTTTGGTTGGCTATTCAATCGTAAGATCGTTCCATTAAAACTAGAACACTCTGGTTCGTCTCGAGTTCGAGAGCGAGCTTCAGACCGGCCATCTGAGCAAAACCTCTTTAACCAGCAAAGATTTTGACACGTCGTCAAAATCTTTTTAAAACTTTTTCGCACCTGCGAAGCTGATAACAACAAGACAGTTTCCTGCAGAACAAAGCTGATATTATTCCTGAGACGCAAACTACTTCCAACTGTTGTTACCTGGAAGATGACCCTGGACTGACCTGGTCGTACGAGGAGTCAAGCCTGATTCATGCTTCTCCGTCTGCGTCAGTGCGGAGACACGCAACGTCCCTGCTGGCCTGCCAGAGAGCTCCGCAAGGACGGACGGAGTCGAGCTCTCTTTTCTAAACATCCGTCAGTCGAGACGGACAACGCAAGCTTGTGATTGGTCAGGACGCCGCTGTTGTCTACAGCGCCGCCATTGCGCCCTCAAAAACATAAAGCAGGGTATCTGCAGGTTTAAGGGAACCAAATTTAAGACTTTCTAAGACCTTTTTTAAGGCCACTTTGACCAAATTTAAGCAATTTTTAAAAATTAAGTTTAAGCTATAATTTCCAGCCATTGCCTGGAACCGGTGCTAACCACGTCGCAAACATGGGATTAGCCATCCAGTTACCATTAAACTTACACTTCCCCATGATGCAAGTTCCCACTAGCTTAACCAGCTAATGTGCTCATCTAAAAACAGCCCCCTTTCACAACCAGCTGAATGTGTACGGTTCCGCTTACGCCAACGTCGTACACAAAAAATGCTGAACTAGAAATTCGCAAAATTTTAATAGAAATAAAAGAATCTAGTTTATTGCGTCTTTGGTAATTTAAAACCTTTGGAAACCTTATTTAAGGATTATTTGTCATTTTTAAGGATTTTTAAGGTCTTAAATTTGGAAAAGCAAATTTAAGACTTTTTAAGACTTTTTAAGGACCTGCGGATACCCTGATAAAGAGAGCCGAGGATAACAAGCGGCAGACACGGAGAAGCTTGAAGAATACCTCGCGAAAGAACTCTAAAAACATGAACGTTTAATTCCCCCGTGACTGGAGGAGTGAAAAGATGCGCAGCAAGTGTTTTATTTGTGGACGGAAATGACACGAAACGTGGGTTTAGAGGTGGTGAGCGCATGAAGAGGTGGAGGAGGATGAGAGACAAACTTCTCTGTGTTAAAAAGTCTCTTATTTACAAAAAACACAATATAAACACATGATCTTGGACCGATACATGACAGGATACCACAGAACAGCGTTACGCCCTCTGCTGTCCTGCCGGGGAATTGCTTTGCAACACTCTCCAGGAGACGGAGAAGTATGAGAGCAAAACGCTTCCGTCAATCCGTGCGTGTCTGTCCCTCGCGGAGCTGACGGAGAAGCATGAACCAGGCTTTAGTCTACGGACTCCGGTACCGAGGTCTCCGACCCCCTCCTGACATCTCAGATCCAAAAGGGCGTCTCCGTTTGGGTACGTAGAACACAGTGAGATTGCGTCTGAATGTGGTTTTGATAATAATCTATTTACATACCGTAGCTTAACTCAACCAAATTCTTTTACATCCAGAACTCAGCTTTCTGAGATACGGAGATTCTGACTACATTACATTCACACATGGGTTCTACATCACCTTTTAGTTCCATCCACGCACAGTATACGTTTCCCTAATGAATAAAAGAATCCTAGAATCCTCTGATTAAAACAAATAAAGACCAGGCAAGGTGATATTCTATATTTAAATAGAGTATCACAGCTTATTGGTCTCAAGTGGTGTTAATAATATAAAGAGCTCTTAAAGCAATTTACATAACCCAGCATACTATTTAGTAACACTACAAAGCGATGACTTCCAACCCAGATACTGAACAGTGAGGCGGACCTACAGCTGCTTCTGCATTTAGGTTTAGCTTCTATTAAAAAACTCACGAGTCGGTAACAGAAAACCTACCCACACCAACTCAAAAATAAATAAAAGATTTGTTTGTTTGTTTTCTTCCCAGTACTTCAGTTGGGGAAGTTTATGCAAATGTTATTGTTCAAATGTTGTAGAAGTATTTTACAACTCATGCACTGATTTCTCCATTTGTAATCAGTTGACTCCAAACAAATGAGTGCTGCTCTTAACTCCTAATGAAGAACCCTAGGAGGTTCAAATGGAGGTAACTGGACTTCTGCACCAGCTCCTGAGAGGTTTTACTTCTCCTGGCAAAGATCCTCAGATGAGAAGTCCGGGTGCCTTCGCTAGGATCACCACGACCCGGATGACTGAAAACCCTCCTGATTCCAACATTTCATATTTGGTGTTTGATTCTCATCACCGCTCATATTTGCATATGGATCATCTATAACTTAGTCCTCCTGGTGTTTTATGAAGTGTACTATATTTTAAATAAGCATGTTACTGAAATTTCTAAATAAAGTGACTTTGGTTTATTATAATATAAAGAAGGCTGCTGCTTGGGGAGTTTTACATTAGCTGCAGCTTAACAGCAGGGTTTTATGATGCTTCCTGTAGGGGGCAGCCGGATTCTGAGACACATAAACCGGGGAGGAGGCGAACAGAAGCATCATGAAACATCTCCTGTCACTCTGGTTTCACTCTCAGAGAAAATCCAGTTTCACGTGTTACAGTTAAACTGTGTATCTGAACCTCCACGGGTCAGCTGCGTGTTATTAGCTTCACTGCTCAGCTAATCAGCGGGAATGATGCTCTTTAAAGCAGACTGCTATCTTACAGCGTCTCCTTTAACACCAGTCATTAATCTCTGCCCTTCACCTTTCCTCCGAAACTGATGGGCTCTCCAGGTGATTGAACAAAAGAGAGAGGAACCTAAAAAAACCTGTAGAAACCCATGAATGATTGACTGTTTGTTGGCATTGGGCCACACAACTTACAGCAAACACCACATTCTCATTTCCGTCTTCTTATTCGCTACTTTTCCCACATCTCTTACTCCTTTTCATCGTTTCTCTGCCATGTGTGAAAGGCTCAGGAGGCCAACTGAGATGCACAAATAGTGTAATTGCTTTTTCTGTTGCGTCGTAATCTGTCCAGCTCGCAAAAGCAAAGTCACTTCGTTTGAAATCAGCTCTACTGCTGGGTCAGGGCACTGGGAAATTAATCTCTTTTGTTAAGCTCTGGGTATCGCCAGCAGCCCAGCAGGTGACCGCCGAGGCACCATCATCTCTGATGGTAGACAGTGGAACTTAAAAGGGCGTGCGTGTGTGTGTGTGTGTGTGTGTGTGTGTGTGTGTGTGTGTGTGTGTGTGTGTGTGTGTGTGTGTGTTCGATGTGAGTAAATGACAAGTGATAAGCAATGAACCCATCCACAAGTTTAGAGACACGTTGTCAAACAGATTGGCTCCAGAATAAATGTGTTTGTAGAAGGAAAGTAAAGATCACATAAATGATGACACGAACGGATCTGCTAACGTGTTTAAACACAAACTGAAAGTAACATCTGTGCCATTAGAGATGAAACCATTCAAGTGACTGAGAAAGATGATGCCTAAAGACCAGGATGTGAAGAAGTTAGCACCATCTAGCTTCATGCATCTGATAAAGTTAAAGAGACGGTTCAGATCTTTTGAAGCATAAATAACTAATATCTCACCTGCTGTACCTGCTTGAACAACCTCTGTTTGGAGAAACAGAGATTACATCCCACTGATTTGAAGAGTTAGTGTAATTAGCGCCAGTTCAAGGGTGGGTTAATGTTCCTTTAAAACAGCTGAAAATTGGACAGTTTCTTTTACAAAAACCTACGATGACGAAAATAGCAAAGCGTCTCCCAATTGCCTAAAAACATCTCGATGACCCTGGAGAGTTTTATAAAACTATTCTGCAGTGTTTGCGCTATCCCACATGTTCTAATCAATCAATCAAGGCTTTATTTATATAGCGCCTTCATCACCCTCTACGGGAGGCCAAGGCGCTGAAGAACAAAATACAATCATGACAATAGAGATTACAGAATTTAAAGCAAAGAATCAAAACTACATAAAAGTGAACCAACTTCATGTATGTTCAGGAAATTCTAAACAAAAAGTGGGTTTTCAGGCGACTCTTAAAGTCTGGCAAAAAAAGTAGACTGCCTAACTGACAGTGGGAGCTGGTTCCAGAGTGACGGCGCTAGAAATGACGAAGCCCGGTCTCCACGAGTCCGACACCTAGTATGAGGGACAACTAACAGGCCCTGATCAGAGGAGCGCAGAGAGCGTGATGGGACGTATCGTTTCAGGAGCGCCGCTATGTAATGAGGGGCGCCTCCATGACAGAAATTTAAAACAAACACCAGAAGTTTCAAACGCAGCGGATAAAAGACTGGAAGCCAGTGTAGGGAGGCAGCACTGGACTGATGTGGTTCCCTTTCCTGGCTCCAGTGAGGAACCTGGCGACACTATTCTGCACCATCTGAAGACGATGAATTGATGAATGACCAAGCCCAGCATAAAGAGAGATGCAATAATCTAACCTGGAGATTGTAAAACTAACGATGTATTCCAGAACACCATCATCAAACCAGCAGACAGACATGGTGGAGGTAGTGTGATGGTCTGGGGCTGCTCTGTTGCTTCACAACCTGGACCACCTGCTGTAACTGATGGAAGCATGGATTCTGCTCTCCAGCTGAAGATCCTGTAGGAGAATGTCTGACCTTTGACCTTAACCAGGCTGTTGCTGGTGGAAACCTTCCAATATGGCTGAACTACAACAATTCCGTAAAGAGGAATGGGCCAAATATTTTAGTGGGATAAAACTGTGTAGATGTAGCACTTCCTGCACAGCCTGGAGTAATTCCAACAGGATTATCATTAATCCGTAATAACGTGATCTAAGCCTGATGTAAAACCGGGTTAGCATGAAGAGCTAGAACATTTTTGAGATTAGTTATTTTAAGATGGCAACAATCGACTTTATGTTTATTTATTTAGCTTTTGTCCAAAGCGACTTACAAGTGATAATGAAGCAGGTTACCCTTGAGGTTATCAACAAACACTAATCAGTCAATCCTAGGTTTGAAACTACCTCCTCAGACTAGTTAGCTGGTCAATCTAACCGGAACTAATCTCTGTTTCTCCAAACTGAGGTCACTCATAGCTTCCTGCTAAGATAATGTTTATTGCATTTCAACCGAATCCCAGTTTAACACATTGAAACTATCCCTTTAATTCTCACGAACAATCAACACACACCTGTTTGGGTTGTGAGGATCTGTGTATCTGAAGTAGTACCAGGCAGAGTCCACAAATGTGTCCATGGTGTCGGTCTCCCGCCTCGCTGGGCCTCGACATCTGAGAGACGAGAGAGGAGACGAACACAGAGATGGGAGAAGCGAGAACCAAATTAACGCGGGGTCAACAAATTAGAGCAGGGGAAGGATCTGCTCGAGAAAACATCGATGGCTGGGAGTAAAACAGGCTCCGTGCGTGCGTGCGTGTGTGTGTGTGCGTGCGGTGGGTCGTCATGTCCCTGCAGACTGGCACCAGAGAGCTGTTCCTGTGCCCTGACAAGCAGCCTGAGCTAACAGTGAACAAACTGGCAGGTCCAGCTTCTGATGGTGTGTTTGAGTTGGAAACGCCGCCTCGTAGCCGTTGTTTGAGCCAAACAGCACTTTGGTGAAGAACGCAAATCTGCCATCATGCAGGAGAGGACACAGACAAAGACACGGGAGGACTAAAGAAAAACAAAAATGTTGTTTAGAGAACATTTTCAAGGTTCAGACGTAAATCACCGGATGGAACAGCGAGAGCATCTGCCTCTTACGTTCACAGTGAGTCTCAACTGATTCAAAATCAAAGTTCCAGAAAGATAAACAGAAAACAGCTCCTAGCGTCTCCCCAGTCATCAGCTTTGTTTCTCCTGTAGTTTGTCTTTGTTCTTAGCCTTTTAGTGCAAACTCACCAACAGACTCAACCAGGAGCAAAAATGCCCCAACCACCTTCCACAACGCGCTATATTAAGGCTGTAATGATGAGGTAAGAGCTGAGGGTTGCTTAGCAACAAGGCTAAGGTGTAGCAAGGTTAATGTTTTGGAGGCCAGGTGTTGTTTGGTACCATGAAAACCCAGGAGCATAATAAAGTCCCATCCATCGTTAAAACAGGTGTATAAAAATGAAAGAAACTGTTACAGTGGAGGTTTCCTTTCTTGTGTTTATGATTGACAGCTCCAGGTTAGCCAACACACACACACGCACACACACACGCGCGCACACACACACACACACACACACACACACACACACACACACACACACACACACACGGAAAGAAGTTGCTTCAGATTTTGTTGAATAATTAGTTTGTAGTGTTTTCCCCTCTAGCTTAGAGGATTATCCACAAGTGGTGTGTGCGTGCGTGCGTGCGTGCGTGTTGAGATGAAGCCAAAAAGAGTCAAAAGGCTCTCTAACAGATGCACAATTCATAAAGGTTCTCCTTTCTCAGGACAACAGTTCTCCATCTGTGTGTGTGTGTGTGTGTGTGTGTGTGTGTGTGTGTGTGTGTGTGTGTGTGTGTGTGTGTGTGTGTGTGTGTGTGTGTGTGTGTGTGTGTGTGTGTAACAGCTGACTAGTGTGTTTGAGTTGTGCAAACCAGGAGTTCCTCCCTTGTTTACCTACATAGATCTCTCACTCACTCACTCACTCACTCACTCACTCACACACACACGCACACACGCACACACACACGCGCACACACTCCTAATCAGGCCAGAGTGAAGCAGGGTTCAGTTGGCAGGCTAATTTCCAGAGCTGCAGAGATGAGACGAACACACAGGAAATGACTTCCTCAAGGACAGATAAAACCGGTTCTCCTGCCCGTCTTTCACCCACCCGCTCATTTGTGTTCCACTCAAACTTTAATTGGACATGGTCGACGAGCGGAAGAGAACAAATTTCTGCAAACACTTAACAACTGAGGGGAGACGGTGGCATCTAGATGTTTTTTTTTTTGTTGACACCAGTCGTTACTGATGAGTGGAATTATGGGAGCTTTGAGGAGGGGCGTGAAACCAGTGTGATGACTTGTGCCCTCTGTGACTGAGTGAGTTTTGTTTTAATCAGCGTGGAGCGTTCAGCAGTAATAAGTCTCATTCAGAGAGGAATTCCCATGTCAGCGAGGGACGCTGGAGACACCGGCTGAGTCATCATTCTGCTTTTCCGAACACAGAGGAGACGCCGAGCGACGCGTGACCACGGCTGCACACAAAAGGTTAACGCACGCCCATGCGCAGCTGGCTCATGCAACCTCCAGCATCACCTCATGTGGCTCGTGACACGGATGCCACTCGTTGCATAACAGAAGGAATCCTCACACACGTCTCCATGTTCCTGTAAAGCTGCTGGTCCTCTCAGCCTGCCTGGCAGCGAGCTCGTTTGGTTAGAGCCGCTCTCCTGAGGACACACAGGAAATAGGGAGGAGAATGTCACCGGAGAGGGCCTACACATAATTCAATTCTCCCTCGCATATACTCAGCCTCAATTCCCCGATCACTCATGTTGTTCTGGAAAAAAATATAACGCATTTACAATTCAGTGCAGACAAATGGGGCTAATCATGCTAATCCTCCATCAGGTCGTGACACAATGATTTACTCACGGCTCTATCGTGAGAAAAACGAGTCCAAGGGCCGCAGGTTTCACACAAGCCAACGAGTAGAGAGCTCTAGCTGCTTCACAAACAAATTCAAACACGATTTCTCAGACTTTTACAAGTTTCTGCTGAGCGAATAGCAAAATCTCTACGTTCTAATTATTGTTTACAATCAAAACTTGCAGATTTGTAGCTTCCACAAAACTAAGTGTTCCTAGACCTGTTAACACAGATTATGCGTGGTGCCACCGTAACAAGATGATAAGTCGGATGTTTACACTCCATTATCGCCGTTGTCCCAAGCTGCAGGGAATAAAAACAGAAATGATCTTTTTCCCAGTTAAGCTGGACACTGGTTAGGTCCACCCTGTGATTTACCAAAAGTTTCATTTATTGTCTCGTACGATCCTGAGGCGCAACAATCAATGATACAAAATAAAGTTCACATTATATTCTGTAACGTGATGAAGGAGCTATTCCACCCTCTCTCCTCAGGAAGAACTAATCTGCATGTGTTTGCTTCTAAAACTGTTTCCTTTCCAGTTCAAGAGAAGAAAGAAGATGAACTCTTTCTTTTTAATAAATCAAAGAACTCTTTCTATTTTTAATAAAGCTAATCAAACAAAGTGTTAGTCCAATAATAAAATGTGAACCTATCTGTGAAATTGCAATGCTTACGATCAGTGGTATTTTAATATTAATAAGTACTATGACTTTAATCTAGCTGCACATCCTGATCCACGTAATGCTTAAAAGTCACATGACACATTTTATCTTTCTCATCCAATCAGAACCTTCCTTTCTGAAGCGTGGTATAGTCTCTGTGGTGTTTATTAATCTGCCAACTTTGATTTGACCAGAAATCAAAACATCCAGATTAATAAAACCAGTCCCCACGCCATCTTAAGACAGTTCACCACATTCTAAGAGAAGTATCGGACCGGCCACCCGGACTTTCTTTTTGATCAAAGAACCAACAAGCTGGATAAAATCTGTTGCATTTTACCAACCAAGCAACGGTTCCTTTCAGAATAAAAGCTGAACTCACTGATCCTCCAGGTCCATCTGACGCTGTCAACCAACTGTCGCTTTTTACCTGGAGACAATCCAAAGACTAGTCTGTCGTACTGCTGATGCTGTTTCATCGGCTCCGGTACCGAAGGGGGGTCAGAGGACCTGGCATTCTGGATCTGTACGGAGGTCTCATCCTGAAGGGTATGTGTGGAGCGACAAATGGCGTCTCATGTGTTTATGAAACTCCGATCATAGCATAAGAGCAAAACATCACTTCATCATTCAGGCTTCTCTGGATACGAGAGTTCTGATGACAACATGACTCACACATACACCATTCATCTCACGTCTCATTCACACCAAGATCCATCCACTCACTTAGAGTTTAGAGTTAGTCTTGTTTAAAATTGTTTAGAAATAAATCTTCTTAAACGTTTTAAAGGTGACTCTCTCTTCTGTTGTCTCTCAGTTAATACGAAGTGTTACATAATCCCTGCAATAAAAAGTTCCAATCTTCTGGTTAAAAGTACCCAAAGATCCATAAGATTGATTTCATATTTACTATGGAATCTTATGTCTTATGGTTCCCTAAATAGATGTAAATTAAATCATTATAATTCAAATAGCAAATAAAGGCCATAAATGATCAACATTGTTAAATACAGTTTCTTCTTCTTCTTCAAAGACATCAACAAAAATATGAAACCAGCATTGTTGCGTATGATCACACAGAAAATGATTCCAGAAACACCATTCAGGAACTGGGAAGTTATTATTTGTCATGCTTGCCGCTGCGCTGACTTCCACTGAAGAATTTTTATTTCATAGAGCCTCAAATATTTTGCCTGGCTGACAGATGTGCACAGCAGGAAGCCTGACTGGCACCAGTCCGGTTGTGGAACGTGCAGACTGTAGATTGATGTTGTTTTGCTAAAACAAGCGAGACCCTCCATGATGTTGCACCGCTTGATCTGCATAACCTAAGCCTCTTCACATGTACACGTGCACATGTGTATTCATACTTTGTGCAAACCTTCAGATCAGCCCCATTCAACAGACGGCCCAAGGGCCAGAACTGGTCCATCAGTCATTTTGGACCGGCCCATTGCCAACATACCTTCCTAGTAAATTATTTGTTTAAAATATGCGATGTAATTGTAAGCGTAACAGTTAACAACACTTTGTGATATATCTAAGGCATGGAGCTCCACCGTTTACACTGCTAAGTTTATAACAGCAGAAAACCAGAAAGAGGAGACGCGAGGTTGACAAAACGCTGAGAGAAAACCCACGAGCCTTGTCCGTCACGTCATCTGTTCAATCGCTAGAGTACAAGGGGATCAACAGACACCAACTCCAAACTAGCAGCGAAGCTGTGATTTTTCACTTGCAAAGCCACAACATCTCTCCGAGTCGCACGAATACTGACTAAAACGAAAAGACAACGGTACGATAAAAGAGATGGAGTACATAATGAGTGGCGGCCAAAGCCTCATGACAGTTTGGCCCAACAGATCTAATTAAATACCCCTGCCTTAGTTCATTAGCAACTCTAGCTTTGAACAGCTCCACGTGTCATTTAAAACATTCTGTGTCAGATAACAACATCCTGACCTCCCGGACCCCTACAGAGGACTTCAGCTTCTAGCACGAGAACTTTTCTTTTTAATGTGGTGATTTTTTAATAGAAAAAAGTCATTTTTGAAAGACTACATTTAAACACAATGCTGTTTTTGTGTCTTTGAGCTGTCTCTAATCTGAAACTGTTGGTGGACTTAAGCCTCGGAAGGTTGAACACTTGAAGCCACTTTTTTAACAAAGTTGTCTGAATTAGATTTAAATCAATACATGATTGTAGCTCCAATATTCATTTTATTTTCTTTATGGCGGTCAGAAAATACAGGTTTAAGTGATTACTCCATCATTCCAGACGTTTCCTTTCTTTTTAAACGGTAAAATGGTGAATGGTTTGTTTTTATATAGCACCATCTAGAGTCGTAGAACCACCCAAGGTGTTTTACAACACACACACACACACACACACACACACACACACACACACACACACACACACACACACACACACACACACACACACACACACACACACACACACACACACACTTCCTGTGTTTTTTAAAGAATTAGCTCATTTATTTCTAGCCCTTTTCATAGTACTGTTCCAAATTTCCTGGATGGCGGGACTATAAAGTAAAAGAGGTGAAACACTGAAGTAAGAGGCAGACGCAGAGACAGTGACATGAGTTTTGACTCATGAGTAAATATTGAAATAAAGTGTGTCTGAGGTGGTCAGAGATCTAGTAATTCTGGTCTCTGATGACAAACATGGACAAAAGGAGCATTAGAAACAATCCAACACCTGCAGGAGTCTGAGGAAACGCATCTGGGGACGGTTATGGGAGAAGACGTTTGAGTCAACAGATGACGACACAGGACAAATACGACTTTCAGTTCTCCTCTTTTCTCATCAGAACATGAAAACAGCATTAGAGTGTGTTCCCACCTGGGACACTTGCAGTTGACCCAGTCATGCACAGCTCCCAGAGGTGACGCCCCCTTTCCCGTGAGAGACGCCGCCTTTGGCAGAATAACAGGTAACTCCTCCTCAGGGACAGCAACGGCGCCACAAGAGCTGCAGTGCACCACTGGGATGGGGGTTCCCCAGTACCGCTGTCTGGATACCAACCAGTCCCTGAGCTTGGGGCTGGTAAGGTGACCTCCAACCCTCTGCTCTCTGGCCTTCTGGGTAATGGAGTGAAACGCCTGCTCCCTGCTGAGGTCTGAGAACTACACAAAGATGATATTAAACAAATGGATTATTAAACATTAAGAACAATTTCAGGATCGATGCTGACCTCTTTAGAATTAATCAGAGTTTGTGTCCCGTCTCCTTGGGTTTTCAGAACCGTAGTCCAGCTCAGATTCAGAGCTCTAGCCAGAGACTGATCTTCCTCACTGCAGTCTGGAACACCTGTCTCACACACACACACACACACACACACACACACACACACACACACACACACACACACACACACACACACACACACACACACCACAGCGCTGCAGTGAAACCTGCACTAGAAGGATAACTAATCCCTGGAGAGAGTAAGCAGAAAACGTCCCAGTAGCGATGGAGTAGAGGGCCTTCCCTTGGGTTTAAACTCTGACTCAAACATCTGCAGGTTTACATCATATAGACACAACACGGCATGGCACAAACACACAGCAGGAGTGGGATCTTTAAGATGTTACAAATGAGTGACAGCTCGGCTTGCACAAGCCAAACAACTCACCGAGCACCGTGTCCAGGTATCCATCAAACGCCTCCTTCTGAGAGATGATGACAGGAACCTCCAGGCCAGTAAACACATTAAGAGCTCTGACTTCTGTTAGAGAGTCTGCAGAGAAAAACAGAAGAAACAAAACAGACGGCTACAGAAGAGTCTCGGTTCACAAACACCTGGTCCACTGCAGAGATTCAATCAATCTTAATGTACACAAAACTAAGATCATCTTTTCTTTACTGAACTTCTTTTAAACAAACACAGTTTTAAGGTCAAATCTGGCAGCATTGGTATGGAGAATTTGTGATTTATTAGCATTTACCTCCTAACCAGGACCGCACCTATAACTGGAGTGAGGCTCACCTCTGCCAGGCTGAAAGTCTTTCTGTAACACCGAGCGGACCGAGCTGCTTCCATGCAGCAGTCTGTGGGAGGGCAGGATGGCCAGGTAAGCTGCCCCAAACACCGTCTCTGGGGAGGAGCAGAAGGCTGACAGGGTCTCCCCCGTCTCCTTACCGTCTACCTGAGACGTTAAAGAAAACAAAAATTCATTCTCATCTCCAGAAAAACAGAAGAGTAGAACAAGGAGCCAGCAGTCCCGCTGGTTTTCTGTTTAAATTAAATCATTTTATAATTCTGCAAATCATACAGAGCCGAACGAAACACAACTAAAGGTTTTCAAAAGATGGTTTTATCTGATTCATAAGAACCAAAAAGCCTTTTATGTTGCTGTATGTGAATGCAATGATAAAAGATAACAGATGAAGTGGTAGATTTAGCTTAAGAGATCAAAAGGACATGATGAAAATCTAGACATGTAGCTGGGTGAAGTGATGCGTTTTGAAACAGCAGCAATAAACAAGTTTCAAGTTAAACTGGGTTTATTTTTGTGCTGACGACAGATTTTCGTTCTACTGACGGTAGAGGGTTTTAGTTTATTTATTATCCTGATTGTTGTGGAGAAGAAGTCCTCAGTCCTTCAGAACATCACGTCCTCGATGATCTACCATCAAATACCACAGCTAAAGCAAAACAATTATCAGTTTACACACTGGCTAATAGGAAAACCTTACCTTACAATCACACCTAAAAGGAAATTCATGTTTTCCTCCCTCTAAATGTTGAGTGCAGTGTTGCCAACTGTTTTTGACTGAAAGTAGCTGAAGTTCCCCCCAAAGTCGCTAGATGTTGCCAGGTGACGTCACATACTAATTTACATATTGATGACGTCATCACACCACACTGGCGTTCATTTTCCCCATAGCATCTAAAAGATATACTAAAAGGGAGGAAAATAACAAAACCTATGTTATGTATTAAAGTTATTAATAAGTATGATTAAAATGGCCCAAATTGCTTTGATATGTACAATAAATTCCAAAAGTATCAATAAATTGACATTAAGACAGATATTCTGTTGTAGGATATAACTCAGACCTCCTGCTCTCCTCATTCTCACAGACATTTTCCTAAAAAGCTGTTTTTTTTTTACATATCATAGTTTCTCAACTTCTCTGTTGTGTTTTCTCTCCATCGTGATAATAACGGCGCACCGAGCAAAAGGGAGCGGGTGTCTCATGGTGTAACGATCCCTGTGTCTCTGAAGGAAATTCAGATGAGCCACAGAGCTGCGTGTGTAAACGGGATGGTAGTTGAAACTCCCGATGACTTTATTTGCCAAATGCAGGAAAAACCAAAGTGTCTGACGGCTGCAGAACCAGAGATCGGAGGTTGACGCCTGCGCCGTCTCTAGTTGAAGCGTGAGCATGCAGCAGCAGCAGCAGACGTACATCGGCGGTCTCCAGCTCTGCAGCTGTACCTTTGTCTTCGGCGAATCGGCCCAGCCGAAAACGGTTTATGATTGGTCAGTCCTCGTGCACATGTGCAGATTATCATTCTCTTTCCTTACTCCCGGAAGAACGGTTCAGATTCCAAATGGATTCTTTGTTGCTAATCTGTGGGGAATATCTACAAGAAACTTCTACAGAAAGTAGCAACGGGTCCTGAGAAATGTCGCTAGGTGCTTTTTGGAAAAAAGTCGTTGAGGGGGTCAAAAAGTCGTTAGGAACAGCGACAAAGTCGCTGAGTTGGCAACACTGGTTGCGCGGGGTGGCGCTGGTTCTCTGTGGAAGCCTTGCTGGTTTGGGGAAATTCTGCCCCTTCCCCTTGAGTTGCTTACACTGCTCTAGCTACATGTGATCGCTGGATCGAACCTGGAAGTCGATGATGACTGTGGGGGTGCGTGCACGGCTGCGGGGGAGAGGGAGACGAGTGATGTGGCAGTGAGAAGACACAGCTGCTGCTGCAAATGAAGGATCAAGCCTGTTCTTCATACATTCACAGGACATGGACAGAGGGCTCTCCAACCCCTGAGAGAGACGCTGACTGTAGAACGCAGCAGGAACAGTAAATAAAGAGTTGAAAGCTGGTGTGTGGTGTTTTCTGTGTGACCCTGAAGTAGCCGTCAGTGCTACGGGGTCTCCCTCTCCTCCACAGCTGTGTGAGCTCTGCCACAATGACACATTTCCTTTTTGATGTGTGTGGGCTACCGTAGCTGCAAAAACCACGCTGAGCAGCGAGGCGCGAAGGAATCGAATGTTTTTACAGATTGGGCCTTCAACAAAAACCAACAGAAAACTGAAGCTCCACATTCCTAACTGATCTAATTAATTAATCACACTTATTTGAAACTGGTATCATTCGTTTAACTGGAGAAACTCCTCTGTGTGCACAAAAGTTGTAAATGTTCACATTGTCTCATTTCTTCTTCCCTGTGGAAAATTCAAAGGTGTTTGAATAGACAGACTTGAGTTATGTGACTTCTGAGGAGCGTGGCCGTTGGTTTGTCAAGTGTTTACAGTGATCCCTCGTTTATCGCGGTAGATGCGTTCCAGACCTGGCCGCAATAGGTGAAAATCCGCGAAGTAGGGACACCATATTTACAGTACAGTACTATATTGAATTATCGTATGATCACATTCTCTTTTTGTGGGTAAAACTCAAGGAAAAAAATTTTTACTTGTTTTTTTTATAGTTTTATTACAAAAAGTGCATTTTATGATGAAATTGATTAAAAAATTGGAATTTCTTGATATTTTGCATAGAAAAATACCGCAAATCGGTGAAAAATACCACGAATCGGCAAATTTCCCTTGAATAAGGCTACAAAGAAAAAATCCGCGAAGTCGTGAATCCGTGATAAATGAACCACGAAGTAGCGAGGGATCACTCTACTCAGTTTCAAACCATTGACAGTTAAATATAAAAATAAGCCAGACTAAACTGATCCGTGAAATATTTGGATGGGGAAAATGGCTAATTACGGATGGAAGTGTCTTCTGAAAGCAAATTAAGTCATCAATTGAAAGCTTTTTTATGTAATCACTCACCAAACAGCAAGATAGGATGGGGCGAGGTGTGAAACAAGAGAATTACCTTAAGTTTGAAATCAAAGTAGCAGCCGGTACACTCTCCAATCCAGTTTGCCTGCATGGCTTTGACTCCGTACCACTTTGGAAGGTCCTCCAGAGCATCCAGGAGAGGCTGGATGAAGCAGAGAAGATCAACATTTGGCTTGCAGACTTTGTTCAAGTTAGAAAGAAGATACTGTTCCACCTCAGTGTGGAAAAGACACGTTCTGATGAGTATGGGCATGAATGGGTTAACTCAGTGTGGCCTCTTTCAAAGCACAACCCATCAGCCTCAGGTTACAAAACATATTATGAAGGGCAAACTCGAAAAATTAGAATATGCAAAAAGTTTATTTATGTCATTAATTCAAGCCTTTATAGTTGGGATGATTGTGGCTTACTGCTTATGAAAATCTTACATCAGTACCGTATTTTCCGGACTATAAGCCGCTACTTTTCCCCCATGCAGTGAACCATGCAGCTTATAATGAGGTGTGGCTTTACTGAAGATTTTCCTTCACCTGCAGGGGGCGCTTTAGCAGAAAGTGAAACAGGTGGAAGTCAAAAGTGGAAATCGAAGAAAGTGCTCATTTTAATTTAGCACATGCAAGCAGCCGGCACCACAAAGAATGTTTTTCGAATCCATACCCCCTCATCATGGTAACTACATGCATGAGTTCATATGATGCCACATTTAAGTTGAAGGCCATGGATCTGGCAGTAAAGGAGGGAAACGGTGCTGCCGCACGTAAGCCTGGCATGAATGAATCTGTGGTTCGGCGCTGGAGACGGCAGCGGGAAGAACTCATTCAAGCCAGCTTCACCCGGGGATGACGACAGCAACACGGACAGCGACACTGACATCGCCACAGAAAAGGTATGTGACGAAGCTCTTCTGAGGCTATTCAACTCCGACACTGAAGAAGAGGATTTTAATGGCTTTAGTGCGCAAGAGGAAGATGAATAAACGAATCAATAACTTTTCTGTTTTGTTTGATACTGATCAGTTTAGTTACGTTCAGTTAAACTACGTTTTCAATTCAGTCGATATCTGCGGCTTTTAGCCCAGTGCGGCTAATATTGTGGTGCGCTCTATAGTCCGGAAATTACGGTAATTAGAATATTATGAAAATTAAAAATATTCTAGACTCAAAGTGTCACACTCACAGGAAATGCATCCAAAACACCTGCAAAGGGTTCCCGAGCCTTTAGATGGTCTCTCAGTTTAAGTTGGATTACTGACATAAATGGACTTTTCTACCATATTCTAATTTTTAGAGTTTCACTTGAATCTTCGAGGTGTGGTGTTTGTTTTTGGAAAAGCAAGCTACATTAAAAAATGCTAAAGTACAAGCCCTTAGTTCGGTCTCCTCTGGAGTCACTGAATCAGGAAATGGTACAACACCGACTGGTGACACACACGCAGACACAAAGCTCTGCTGAGTTGCTAGAGTCAAAATCTCCAGAACCAACTATGAACCCAACCTCCATCGTCCCCTGACCCCTAATTGTGTGTTTTTTTTTTTTTGCTAGCATACACAGAATGTGGCATTTTCAAAGGTGGTAAACTAGCCATTTTTAGCTTTCTTGGTTTATTCTTAACGAGACAATGTGTCGTTTTTACCGTTAATCTCTGGAAACATCCATTGAAACGTTGTTGAAAATGAATGAAATGATGCCCAGTTGAAAAATATTAGCAGCTTTGTAACATATAGCCATAAAAATCAGGTCTAAAATACTTGAAGGCAGGTCTAAGTTTACTCCAACTGACTATATCCTACAGCAGGAGCTTCAGAAATGACCCCCACCCACACGCACATGCACACACACACACACACACACACATGCACACAACATTTACTCACTGAGTGTTTAAAGGAAGCTATGCAAACAGATAAAGAGCAGGCCAAAAATATTCTTCTATTCTTTGTGGGTAAAGATTGCCATAATGTATTACCCACAATCCCCCTCCCTGTGCTGCTCAGCGTGCACTGCTTCATCGTGGAGTTATTGACACAAACATAAACACTGGTTGGAGTCTTCCCTGCCAAAAGGGAGGGAGTGTTACGCTTATGAATCCGCCTCAGAGTCGGAGAAAAGTGACGAAACACAATAAATCTGTGTGACTGAGGAAGTCTGGAGGCAATGAATGAAAACCAGCAGCAACAGAGAGGTTCACCGTTACAGACAGCAAGTGTTTTTACTTGTCTTGGCAGCGGACACACACACACACACACACACACACACACACACACACACACAGAGGGGGGGGGGGTCTGGCATTGAAGCTGGAGTAACTGAAATATGTACAGAAAGGAAAGGACAGAGGTTTCCATGGTAACTAAGAAAAGCTTGAAAGCAAAAGCATGGTAGGGCAATAACTAAAGATTAGTGTCAGAGAGAGAGAGAGAGGTAAAGTGCACTTTGAAGATAAATAATACACAATAAAAGGAAAGTGCGATGCAGCCTACAGCATCAGAAGGACTTCGCGTTTCTATTATTTCATTAGGATGCTTGAGCGATACGGTCAAAGAACTACAAACTCAGTAGTTTAAGCATCATTTGTCTGTTTGTGGCATAGCGTGATGACAATGTTTTTTTCTGATTTCAACAAGCTTGATTGTGCATGAAATTAAAAACTGCAGCAGTCGTTTGATGATCCTGCACAAATAAACCAAAATGTTTTATTACCGTAAAATAAACAGAGATACTAAACACGCTCTGAACCTAATGTTGTCCAGCAGAGCAGAACACGTGCAGACACAACGCAGGAAATCACTGTTCAATTACATCACTTCTTATTTGGCACTCTCCCCACCTGACACTCTCCTCCTTCTCCCTCCTCCATCCGTCTCCCTCACTTCTTTCTCCCAACACCTCCCTGCTCCTTCCTTCCTTCCCCCCCACTTCTCTGATCATCAGAGAATATTAGAAATGCAGCAACACATTGTCACAGTAGGCTGCTTCCACCTCCACTCACACCTCTGACACACACACACAAACACACACACACAAACACACACACACACGAAACAAACCATTGCGGCCAAATTTACCATTCCTCTTTAAATTGCATAATTAAAAACAGTTAAGAAGTCCTAAATGGAGATAATTTATATTCTATTTTGAAATATATTTGAAGTCTAATGTGTTTAAAATGATTAATGATCTATTTTCAAACAGGCTAATTCAGTATCCAACCACTGTGAGATCAGTCTACAAATAAGCAGTGGCGCCACCAAGAGGAGGTCAGACGAGGCAATGCCCATCCCTATAAATATCCTGGCCCCCACGTGCCCCCCCCCCCCCCCCCCCTGAAACCTTTGTGGTGGTGCCGCTGTAAATAAAAATCATTACTGAGCAAAAGCACACCACAGAATGTTGTATGTTGTTTGGTCGGACTTTATTTTATTTTACTGAGTGATTTGATCCTTTTTTATTTTGTCACCCTAAAAAAGGAAGATTTGCTGCTTGCGTTTTCAAATTGAGCGAGTTTCTCCCTGAGCTGTGACTGTTAGCGACAAAACACAAGCACCAGGAACAAAGTTTCCAAAAGGCCTCAAACCGTTCTTTGCGTGAGTCACATGAACCTGCGCTCATGTTGCTGGAATATGAAACATCTGCAAACGTCATCCATCCAGAACCCACGTGACTCAAAAAGAGTGAAATATACAAGGCAGCTTTGGGAGGGGTCACCCCCAAATTCCACTACCTCCGCTCAGCTCAGCTGCGGTCCGCCCCCGCCTTCCGCAGCCGCTCGCTTCCGAACTCAATTTTTACTGGTACGCGCTCTACAACGGCTCCGCTCCGGTGCGGAGACCTGAGGTGGGCAAACAAGCATGCGCGGGATTTTCAAGATCTTGCGATACAGTCCGAGCAATAAACGCGGAAGTTAGATCCAAACACCCGTTGTGTGGGAGAAGCATCGACATGAGCTGTTCAATCTGCCCATCATTTGTGTTGAGATCAGCAGTGTTTGGATCAACAAAATGTGACTACTTTGATAGCGGAAACTGTATTTATGGCTTACTTTTGGGCATTTAAAGTTCAGCCGCCATTGATAGTTGTTAAAAGTTGTTAAACCTGTGCATATGAAACAAAAAACGCCTTTTGTTTATCGATTTATTGTGAAAAACGGAAGTTGTGCTTGCTCCTTTTCCTGTTGGGCCGTTGTGATTTCTGTCCATTGATTGCGGAGGTGCTCCGGCGTCCGGCAAAAATAGGATCGATTCTATTTTTGCCGGACACCGGAACAGAGGGCGGCGCACGGCGCCGCACTGCCGGAGCACGGCCGCAGTAGTGGAATTGCTCTGATTGACTACAACGGGACCGATTTTGCTCCGGCGTTCGTGTCGGAGCGGAGCGGAGCGGAGCGGAGGTAGTGGAATTTGGGGGTTAGAGAGCAAATAAATTAAGAATGAATTGTGAACAAACTGAAATGGTATGGAATTAGGATTGGGACAATATTACATGCAACTTGTACCAAGCTTTGTAATCTGTAACATGTTATGTAACACATAACTTCCATTTGGTAACTTGTAATTCTCGTTTTGTAACACGTTACATGAAACTTTCATTTTGTAACTTCAATGTACAAGTTTCAAATCACAACTATCAAAACACACATCTCAGTCTACAGTTACAAAACTCAAGTCTACAAGTACAAAACATTTTGTCCCAATTCTAGCTTCCTTCCCAAAGAACCAATGGCAGGCTTTGTCCGACCAGCCAATCATGAGTCTTGGATTCCTTTTCGAAGACAATTCCTGTTGGAAGCAAGCTAGAACTGGGACTAAATGTTTTGTACTTGTAGACTGAGTTTTGTGTTTCGAAAGTTGTGATTTGAAACTTGTACATTGATTGTTTTCTGCAAGTTACAAAGTAAAAGTTTCGTTTTGCGTATCGAAGTTACATGTTACAAAACAAAACTCACAGCAACAAAACATACTCCTGCATGGTGGCGCAGTGGTTAGCACTGTTGCCTCGCAGCACAAAGGTTGCAGGTTCGAAACTCGGCTGCGGCCTTTCTGCATGGAGTTGCGTGTTCTCCCCATGCATGCGTGGGTTTCCTCTGGGTACTCCGGTTCCCCCCACAGATCACGACATGCCCTACAGGTTATGAATTGTAAGTCGCTCTGGATAAAAGCGTCTGCCAAATGAATAAACATAAACATATTACAAGTTACAAAACTTGTTACAAGTGTAATATTGTCACAATCCTGGTTCCATAAAATGGCACAAAGACAACATCTGCACGACTGCTGCAGTTATGTCACATGACCCAACCATGTATCAAAACTGTTGCAAAAGTGTCTTCAATATGATTTGTGTGTATTTGTGCACTTTTTTCATAGCAATGACTTTCCGACAGTCACCGCCCAGTGAGATACCATCTTTTAAGCCATTTAGTTTTCGTTCAAACTATTAAACCTCTTATCAGATATCACCCGTCCATCTCTAAACTGCTTATTCTTCAGCAGGGTCGTCTTTCTCCAGTCATCAGGTGAGAGACAAACCAGTCCATCACAGGGCCAATCGCACTCATTTGAAACTTCATTTTATTTGTTGCTGCAACTATTAAAACCAAATGTGTTGATGTGATGAACTTTACATAACAGGTAAAAGTTTGAAATCATTGCGTGGCACATGCACACACCGACGTTGACCATTGTGCAGCAAATAAAATGCATGAGCATTCTTTTCTGTGGCTCTTTCAGTCCAGAGGGGCTCGTTGTACCCTGCAGCAGGCCGGTTCACCTCTGTGCAGAAAGGTTAAGGCTCATCAGTCTGCGAGGCCAACCTCAGAGCCTGTTGGTGAGGTTTTCTTTTCAGAACAGGACAGACGATGGTCTCCAGGGGTCTGATTGCAGGACTGGAGACGCAGGGCGGCAGCTGCTGCCGCAAAACTTTCAGCCATGATTGTTATCACAGGGGTTCTCTGCTCGTTTTTTTGGCCCACAAGACAAAAACGGGCCAGCCAATCAGATAAGACACACACACACACACACACACACACACACACACGGTATGAACAGGTATACCTTAGCATAGTTTGTGGTCTTAATGAACCACTGAGTGAGTAGCTTCTGCTCCACCAGAGCACCGGACCTCCAGGAGCGGCCGTTTTCATCCACCTGCTCGTCTGCCAGCACCGTTTGATCAACAGGGTCCCAGTTCACGACAGCCTGGATAAAACACACAAACACACTCACAGATGAACACCCACACACTCGGTGCTGAATAGCACAGCTCAGGAAGAAGCTCGGGTTTAATAGGAAGATGAAATGCTTATTTCAAGGCTGTCCCATTTCATTACCCCTAATCAAAAGGCTTCAAACCAGCTTTCTTTCCTTCTTTTCATTCATTTTTCTCAGAGTGACAGGTCTGCCGGTTCCAACGGGTCTGGCACTTCACACCTAAACCAATACGAACGGCTCCTTCTGGAAGAAAACTGTAGTGTAAAGGCCATCCCTACCTCCTTCTGATAGGCCAGTCCTGCTTCAAAGAGCTTGATGAACAGAAACTGCGTCCATCTGTAGTAGTCTGGAAGACAAGTGGTGACTTCCTGTCGAAAAAACCCAGAGTGACGTGTCACAGCCCCTCAGAACAGAGATCATTTAGATTAAAATAGCCTGACGAGTAAAACAACACATCTCAGTAAATCAGACAGGATCAGTTCTGGTTTACAGAGCAGCTCTTGTGTCACATAAACGGCAGAGGCAGAGATCAGCCAAGATCACCCTTAGCACACAGAAAAACAGTAAAACATTCAGCAGAGACATCAGCTAAGAACGGACTGAAACCTGTCGGGTTCTGGTGCAGATCATCTCCTGTCGGGACAGAAGGCTTCGAACAAAAACCCAAACGTCTGTCAAAAAATATAATCCCTGCATGAAAACAAGAACTGTGGTGCAGACGAAAACAGCAGGTGCTCTAGTCAAAAGTTAGAATGTGTGTCTGCAGCAGAAGGCAGGGTTCATAAAACAGCTCAATAGTGAGCATCTGCAGGAAAGAGTGATGCACGCTGGAGGCTCACTTCCCATTCAGAGAGCTATTTCTCCAAACTGAGCAAGGGAAATGGTCAGGATCAATTATTCACGTTTGTATTTGTAAAAGCATTTCACTTTCCCTCATGTTCGTCTGAAACGTCTGCACAATGTTCACATTTACGGTTCTGTCCCTCCCAACATGGCGGATAGCTCCTACTCACTCTGTCCCAGTTGAAGCAAAGGCCAAGGCCAACCAGCTGCTCCCTCATGGACTCGATGTTACTGCAGAAATGAAACCAACATGAGGGCAAATTTCTCCATATAGGAACAGTTAATTTTATCATTAGTGAGTTGACGTGCCTTTTGGTCCACTCTTCTGGATCAAGGCCTCTTTCTATGGCTGCGTTCTCAGCAGGAAGACCAAAAGCATCCCAACCCATTGGATTCAGCACCTGTAGACAAACAGCAGCTCTCAATAAAGTAATGAACAACAAGTATCCAAGAAGTGGAGTTATGTGTGGAAAAATACCAACCCTTCTATTTCATTCTAGAGGAGGCTTAGAATTTCTAATAATTCAAGTTTGGAAGGTTTTACGTTTTCCAAAAATCTTTAAATGAATTTGTTTTAGATTTTAAATTAATACACTGCAAAAACTGATTTCTGAGAAAAAAACTAACGTTTAGGTATTTGATCTTGTTTTTAGGCCAAAACAAAAAATAAATCCTTCTCTAGAAAAGCAGCATTACTTTAATAAGGTAAAATACTTTTAAATATGATCCAAATTTTCTTGCCAAAAGCCAGCCAATGGGGCTAGCCAATGTTGCTTGGCTAGATATCTTAAAACTAGCAGAATAGTCTAAATTTTGATCCATCCATTTTCTGAACCCGCTTGTCCACGCAGGGTCGCGGGGGGGCTGGTGCCTATCTCCAGCAGTCAACGGGCAATCAGGCGGGGTACACCCTGGACAGAGAGCCAGTCCATCGCAGGGCAACACAGAGACACACAGAACAAACAATCATGCACACACACACATACACTCACACCTAAGGACAATTTAGACGGACCAATCAACTTAACAGTCATGTTTTTGGACTGTGGGAGGAAGCCGGTGTACCCGGAGAGAACCCACGCATGCACAGGGAGAACATGCAACCTCCATGCAGAAAGATCCCAGGCCGGGAAGTGAACCCAGGACCTTCTTACTGCAAGGCAACAGCTCTAACCACTGCACCACTGTGCAGCCTAAATTTGGATGTATTTGTTAATTTTAGATAAATAAGATAAAATGTCTAAAAATTAGGCTTTTCTGCTCTGTCAAAAATCCGTTTTTGCAGTGTAATACGTTGCTGTATTTGATGCTAATGTAAGCATCCTGATTTCAGCTGTAGCTCCAAACAAGCACACGAGCAGACTGCCATCCAAATAAAGGATGAGAACGAGGAAGCTTTGTTCCAGCAACTCTAATGACTTCAGGTGTTGTAAACACATTTTTCTAAAAGTATTCTCCGTCTCCATCCGTCTAGCTGGGCCTTGTTTACAGATCCATTTTATAGTCTCCCTCTTTGGCAAACACTCCAGAAGTCTCTTTCGCTCCTCGTGGTTGGCCGTGTTTTTCTGCTCGGCGAGAGAGAAATGAGATGAAAGCTCAGGAGTGGAAGGAGCGCATGGAGTGGAGAAGCAGAGTGACAATGAGCCGAAGGCTGGAGAGGATCATCGTGCGGACTCTAACGGGTCTGATGTTTCAGATGAATTGGTATCCTTGGTAACTACAGGGGCCTCATTTGTAAAAGACGAGTGCTGGATGGTGAAAGGCTGAGGGAGGCTGAGGGAGGCTCAGCTGGCTCTGAATAAGAGCACACAGGCAGCAGAGCGAGAAACCAACACGAGAGATGTTGTCATTCTCTTTAAGAAGTTCAAGTAAACTGCTGTGGTGGAAAGGTTAACAGTTCAAATGAGAAAGTTGACAGAGGCAAATGTTTCCCCCGTCGCTAATAGCACCACTTATCCGAGTCTCCTCCGTCCAGATCAGGAGTCAAGAGCATCCCGAAGCTTTCATCATGGTGTGGGTTTCACATCCCGGGTGACAGGAGGAGGAGGATGGGCGTGGGAGTCGGTCAGACTGCTTTCATCACAGAGCGCTGCTCAGACAGAGCCAACCGGAAACACAAAGAGACTGGAAGCCCACCGCTCACTGGATGGCGGAGGGGACAGGAGGGCAAGGAGCAAGTGTCCTCCCACACGGCTACAGCGAGACGCTCGACTCCACCTGTGGAAGCTTCGAGTCCGTGTTCCTCGTCACAAGAATTCAAACCAGAGCCTTATAGGTGCTCCAGCTCTCAGTGGAGAGTCTGAGCATTCTTCAAGCAACTCAATCATTTCACACGTAGAAATTCTGTTTTATTCAGGGTTTCAGGGGTCGAAGGTTACACGTCTAGACTACTGTGTACATGTACACATGTATCTTTTTCATGATTTTTCTTCTAATTATTCTCTTAAGTGCCGGTGCTGCTGTAACAAGCGAATATTCCCACTGTGGGATCAATACAGTCTATGCTATTCTGTTTTATTCTATTCTACGGAAGGTAGAACAGAGCTTTAAGAAATAATTGTTTTATCCACTTTGTGCTGGAAGTTTGGTTCATTTAAGCAGCATTATTAAATAAAATTTAAGAAAATTTACTTTTAATTTTAAAGTAACAGTTTAGATGAGCTCAGCTTCTATCAATAACCAGAGTAAAGGGGGCTAAACCTCACCGTATAAAAGTACAAACCTCTGGTTCTGTGGAGCTTCAACTGGATGCATGAACTTCATCTTCTCCAACAACAAAGCAATGCAAGCAGTTTCGCCTGGTTTTAGCCTTTGTGCAAATTTAGCTAATATTTAATAATGACCACCTTCACACCCTCTGTAGAAGCAGCTGGAATCATTAAAGAGTTTTAGGCTGTTTGGAAATGTGCTTCTTTGTTAAAGGTGCATTATGTAGAAATGAAGTAAAAACGACATCCTGTGGTAAAATCTGGTTACTGCAACAGCTCTGAAGCTTTTAGCCGGCTGTTGTCAGGTTACAGGTGTCGGTGCTGCAGCATTAGCTTACAGCAGACATGGCGACCCCACGCTCACCGATGATAAACAGTAGTCACGTTCCTCCTTCCTTTACTTTGAAAGGAGAAAAACTGATAATCTGCGCAGCCGGCTGGATATGAAATATGTTTCAGTGTAACCTTCCTTCCAAATGACTGAAACATCAGACTCTGCTGAGATTTTCTCACTGTAAAATTCTCACTATGTTCTTACACACTGCACCTTATAAATAATTCATCAATGTATAGGTTTAATACCATCTGCATGAACCACTGTGAATGTTGTCATAGTAATTAACCAGCACAGAAACTCGTGTCAAAATGACCAAAACAATTACTTAATTAAATAAAAATAAATACGTTCTGCTTAATGTCTGGTTCCTCATTTTGTAAAAAATGGATTTTCTTCATAACTTAGACTCCTAATTCCTACAAAGCTTTCAGCTTTTCAAAACATTTCTTTGAAAAAACATTTTTTTCTCATTAAGTATAAACAGATTCAAGCTGAACTGGTGTGTTTAATGTGCATTACAACACTATGAAGTAAATGCTTTTAATATTTAATAATTCACTGACACATGAATACCATCCGTCCTTTTGATGTATTTATCATGTGTCCTTCCTTGTTTACCTTTAATAATTCAGATTTTTCACATTCCTCTTATTTCAACGTAATTCATGATAAGATTAGTCGCTTTCATTAAGAGATTGTTCTGAACACGGCTCACTTCATGGCAGCAGAAGTTGGTCAGGATAGAATCAGTATAAAACTTTATGGCGATGCCAAAAATAACGAGCACATTCCTCAATTAACAGGAGAAAAAAAGCAGACTGTGTGCATAAAGCAGAACAGCTTTTGGACAGACGCTGAGAGAAGTTCCTTCCTGTGCACGAAGCCGTTAGCAGCCATGTGAAACCCGTGTCTGTTCAGGGAGAACCCAGACGGAGGATGGAAGGATCCTCTCTGCAGGTGAAGGAGAAAGAGACAAACCAGCTCATGTCAAACTCCACCAGGAGCACAGAAACACAGAGGAGGCTGATGAGGGGAGTGAGCTGAAGAGCAGGAGATGTTTGTGTCGCTGCAGGACCATGACCAACCTGACCGTCACCGCTCACAGCTTCATTAACGACAGGCGTTAAGTGGAATCAAACAGAGCGCTTAAGACTGAAACGCTTTGATCCGAGACAGAGTCTCGTCACTCAGTCATCAGCCAGCTTCACATCAGGCGAGTGGGGATTTGAGTTCATTCACATCCAAAAAGAGACACTCTTCATTTTAAAGCCACCACAGTGAGCTCGACTCGCTCCAGTCTGAAACCTTCCAGCTTCAACAACTGGCTGCTAAGCAACAAACGGGAAACCAATGCAAGTGTGAAATATGCAAATGCACCATCACCGTAGTGTGTGTTCTGTGACGAGGAGCACCTCGTTAACTGGAAATGACAAAATGACAAATCAGACGTTCCAAATGTAACCCAGACAGGAAAACAATAACTGCACATGACAGCTAGTTCTTTTAAATGTTGGAAGTGTTTGATGAATGCGTGATTTGGAAAAATATTTTCTTTAGCAAATCTGGTGGTCAGAACACAAACACAAACTCTACAGCTGAGGAAAAAACTTAGTGGAGCGAAGAAGAGAACCTTAAAAGAAGAATTCACTACCTTAGATAATGAAAGCAGGACTCAGATCTAAATGAACTTCCAGAAGCGAGTCCTCCTAATCAAAGAGTCCTTAGGAGGAGCCAGAACTTTGCAGGCTTCAAAAGAAGTCTGCATATTTGTGCGGGAGCAATTGGACTGACTTTTGACAATAGGGAAGCCCAAGGAGGGAACTAAAAAGCTCCACAGAGACAGGCTGGGTCCTTAGCTAAGGAAATAAATCTATAATTGTTCTTTTCACGTGACCCGTGGTTGTTTCGTGGCATACTGAGGTTTAAAATATTGCATATTTCAACTTGAAACTCTGGTTATAATAACATTTAATAGTAGCAGAAGCAGTGTTGATTTTTACTCTGAACCACCATCTTAGTTTGAAAAGGAAAAATGTAAAAATAAAATAATAATAAATAGCAGTAAAATGCAATAAAGTAAAAATGTATTGATATTAATGACAAATACAATTATAAGAAGAATGAATAACCTGAAATTCTAACCCATATCTGGGGGAGGGGTTGATTTAGTGGTAGAGTGAAGTGACTTTTTATTCGTCTTTTTAAAATAACCTTATGAACAGGCCAGTGTTTCTGAAGCGTCTCCATCCACCTTTAACCATGCACACAACCCAAAATGCAGTAGTAACTATGCCAGGCCAGTGTGTGGTGCTGTGTTGCAAACATACTAAAGGTTTGCATCACAGTAAACTAAAAA